GGCCAATAGAGAGGCTGAGGGATGAGGGGTGGGGGGGAGCGGTGGAGCTGTCCCGGTAGCCAGGCCCTGACCTGTGTCATTGGAGCACGGTGTCGCACTGGATATAGCACTAGCTCAGCATGGACCGGAGCTTCTGGGGGCACCCGTGGGACAAGTGCTTCAAAGAAAGTCCAGTGGGTGATACAGCGAAAGGGGAGGGGACACTTCAGATTAGCTGGTCTAAGGAAGGTCACTTGAAGAGGGGTCCTTGAGCCCTGTGCAGAGCTGACAAGAGCTTCCGAGGAGAGAGTCCAATGCAAAGACAATGAAACGTGCTGCGTCTAAGGACCAGAGGGTCTGGCAAGCGCAGGGTGGGGTGGCCAGCTCCTGGGGCAGCTGCAGGGAGGGACCGAGCTTCCAGGCCTGAGGATGAGCCCCCGCCCCGCTGATGCCCTCACCGGTCACTGAGCCTGAGGACAGCCTGGGTGCGGCTGAGTCAGATGAGTGGGTGGCAGGCCGCCCTGGAGACGCGGCCAAGGGGCCCGGCCTGACCGTCTTCTCACCCTCCTGCGGCTCCAGGTGAAACTGCTGCAGAGCCTGGGCCTGAAATCCACCCTCATCACCGACGGCTCCACTCCCATCAACCTCTTCAGCACAGCCCTGGGCCTCCTGGGGCTGGGGTCCGAGTCCCAGCTGCCAGCCAGAAAGGCGGCCGGCAGTCCCAGCCCCAGCCCCGAAGAACACCTGCTGCTCCATTCCTCTCAGTTTCCTGGGGACAAACCCATTGTGCCTTAGCGCCATACAGCGTCGACAATAAAATGTACACTTCTGGGCATTCAAACCCCGTCTCAAGGCTGTGTCACCGGGAGCTTAATGCGAGGTGGGGGCGGGGAGGAGGGGTAGAGAATACCCTGATATCTGGAGATAGTTGCTAGAGACTACTCCCATGTGTAATGTGGAGAGAAAACGGGGTCTGGAGAAGCCTAACCCCATCACACTGACAGACATGGCCCCATAGTCCTACTCTTTTCCTTTTTAAAAAAAAAAAAAAAAAAAAAAAAATATATATATATATATATATATATATATATATATATATATATATATATTTTATTGACTTTTTACAGAGAGGAAGAGAGAGGGATAGAGTTAGAAACATTGATGAGAGAGAATCATGGATCAGCTGCCTCTTGCACACCCCCTACTGGGGATATGCCCGCAACCAAGGTACATGCCCTTGACTGGAATTGAACCTGGGACCCTTGAGTCCACAGGCCGATGTTCTATCCACTGAGCCAAACCGGTTAGAGCCAAAGTCTTCCTCCTGAGCCAGACTGTCCTCCTGGTAGCAGCTTGCCTTGGGCTCCAGGTGGGAGAGATGCCCTGGTGAGAGGGTGGGGCCTGCACTGGCAGCGGCTCTGCTGATTCCTCCTGGACCCCAGCTGCAGGGGCATGCACCCGCCCTCAGCACGTGGGAGGCTCCTTTGGCGCCACCTGCTGGTCACACCTGGCAGGCTGTGCAGTTGTCCCTCTCTAAGGGGATGTCAGGCTGGCGGAGAATCCTGCCCAGGGGAGGTAGGAGCCGGAGCGCCTCCCTGCGCTTCTAGTGTGGGCTCTTCCAGAGCATTGTGGGAAGGGTGTCTCCTCCCCACCTTCCCCGTGACTGTGTGAGGGAAGAGCCCGGGTGCCATCCCTGTGGGCCCCTGTGGAGGCCGCAGGTGAACCGTTCCTTCAGCCCAGGTGGAGGGTCAGGCTGGCCTGGCCTCTGCTACGGAAGGAAAGGTCCCAGGTGGAGAGAAGCTCGGGCCCCAGCCTCTAGTCTCTTCCTGTCTGTGATGGGCCAGCAAGGCCCCTATGGAGCAGGGCTGCAGTTTTGTTTTTAGGGTCTTTATTCCTCCCTGACGCCATGAGCCTTGCCCCTTTCCAAGTTGAGATGCATTTGTGTGGCCAGTGGCCCCACTCCGGCCAGGGCACGTGGAGGCCAGGGGCTCAGTGCAGCCACAGCCCGTGGTGCTGGCTCAGCCCCTTCTCTGCCTCCTCCCACTCTCCTGCCCTCCCGTGAGGGCGGTGATGGATTTGAAGCTCCACAGCTGGTACCTGGCTCGTGGTAAGGGCCGTTGGCACTGTTCCTTGCCAAGGGCCTCTGGGGTGAGTACAGCAGGCAAGGTCATGGTGGGGCCGTTCCTTCTTCCCATCTCAGCCACCGGCTCCCAGGGCCACCTCTACCTCTGAGCCCTCGCCTCCTGCTGCTTCACCCTCGCCTTCCAAGTCAAGGCTTCTGTGACCTTGAACCTGTCCAGGTAACTCACTCAAAACCTCCCAGCCCCCTCCCCTCTCCCCTCCCACGTGGAACTTAGTGGGAAGCCCCAGCCCACGCTGACCAGCTGTGTGTTGCTGGAAGCGGAACACCCACATACTGACTGACCTCATGTTAAATTCATGGCATCAAACCTCAAGGAGACCTAATGCCCTCTGAGTACGTGTCAGCATGTGCCGATCCCCTTCACACCCCCTCTCCTCTCAACCTCCTGCACCCTGCCCACTTCCTCTCACCTCTTTGGGAAAATACAATCGGGCGGGAATGCTGGCCCCTCCCCAGCAAATCTCCCTTCTCCCTCCTGTTCCCAAGGCAGCTCCTCCCCTGGGCGCTGGGTCCCACCTGCGATAGATCTCAGCCCTGAGGGCACTCCTGCATCCATCACCTTTCTCCGCTTCCAGGTCCCCCTCCCCCAGTGGCTGTCACCCGCACAAACGTGCTCTGCTCTCCTCCTTGTAGAACCAAAGAGAACACTCCCTTCGCCCCACGTTCCTTCGGGCTGCCCCACCTTCATTTTCCCTTCACAGCCAATTCCTGTTTCCATTTCTCACCTCTCATTATCCCCTCCACCACTCCAGTTAGCTCTTCTCTCCTCCATGTTCATGGAAACGGTTCGAATCAACAGTTATACAGTAGCAATGAAATAATTTTATGGTTGGGGGCCACCACAACATGAGGAACTGTATGAAAGGGCCTCGGCATTAGGAAGGTTGAGAACCACTGAAAATAAAAAGTTAGGGCCCAAGAGCCAGGAGCCGTTCAGGGACAGAGGGCTCGAACGCTCGTTGGCTGGAGGAGTTGACAGGGGATGAAAGTCTCGCACACGTTGACTGGCTGGGCCGGGCCGGTAGGAGGACACCTGCGGAGCTGAAGGGGCAGCCCAGCTTGTGACCATCTCCCTCGAGTACAGATGTGTCTCTGGCCCCACCCTCACACTCCTAGCGCCCCGGGGAGAGGCCATGGGATTTGCTGCAGCGCTGTTCCCGGGCAGAACCCGGTTAAACAAGTGAGGGAACTCTGCGCCACCGTTAAGACCACTTATGTGGGTTGCTGTGTGTGGTGGATGTTAAGGCTCTGGAGCCGAGCCAGCCAGGTTGGTCTCCTTTTTTGGAAAAGGCTTGTACAGTTGAGCACACAGTACAGTGTAGGCATCAGTTCAAATAGAATAAATAATACAAGTCAAAAGCATTTGGGGCAGGGGTAGCTTGTTAGCAGAACAGGATATATCAAATATTTTAAAATATATGTGTAAGAGTGAATTTACACAGATACATAAGCAATGAGCAGCAGTGGTCGCCTCTGGGAGAAGTGAGTGCTTAAGGTGCCAGCTGACTTCATCACCCTTTAAAAAACTGATTTTGAGAGAAGAGGGACATGGAGAGGAAGAGAAACATCCATGTGAGAGCATGACCCGGGCATGTGTCTTGATCAGGAATCAAAACAGAAATCTTTTTAATTTTAACTGATTTCAGAGAGATTGGGAGAGGGAGATAGAAACACCAATGATGAGAGAGAATCATTGATCAGCTGCCTCCTGCACACCTCCTACAGGGGACTGAGCTCGAAACCCTAGCATGTGCTCTTGACCGGAATCGAACCCAGGACCCTTCAATCTGCAGGGTCTATCCACTGAGCCAAACTGGCTAGGGCAAACCAGTAACCAGATGGCGCACTGGGAGATGCCCAATAACAGACACACCAGCCAGGGCTCATCATCCTTTTTTTAAAGTCTGCAACTTAATGTTTTACCCATTTTTTTGAAGATTCCTTCAATGGCCCCATGTGGCCCCAGATGCCCTCCTGAGCTCCTCCGGCTGCCGGAAACACATTTCAGCAACACGATCTCATCAGGTCCCATTTCTGAAACCCGCCCTCCGGTGAAAACCAGCCCCCTCCTCTGCGTTCTCTTCCGGCTCAAACCCTAACAGCTTCCTGAACTGCCCAGATCCTTCACCGGCACCTGTCGAAGCACTTCCTACTCCTGCCCCCAAAGCACCTCCCTAATCTTGTTACCAGTCCCCCTGCCACCTGTGACCTCCCCCAGGGCTCAGCAGACGCCGGTTCGGCACACACCTGCTGCATTTCAGCTCTCCTGGGCATGTGGGCCCCTGGCTATCGGAATCAAATGAGTAACAGCTGCAGACAACCCCGGCACAAGCTCTGCCATATGGTGAGCTCAATATAGTTAAAAAAAAAAAAAAAAAAGCAAGCCAGTGCCAGACAGCAGACAGCTCAGAGGGTAGAGATGGCTTGTTTGGAACAGATGCCCAGAACAATGTCTTCTATCCAATAGGTGCCCAGAAAACATTGAATAAGAAACAGTGATGCCCTAAACGGTTTTGCTCAGTGGATAGAGCGTCGGCCTGCAGACTGAATGTACCTTGGTTGTGGGCACATCCCCAGTAGGCAGCTGATCGATGTTTCTCTCTCATCGATGTTTCTAGCTCTCTATCCCTCTCTCTTCCTCTCTTTAAAGAAATCAATTAAAAAAATATATGTTTTTAAAAGTGATTCTCGACCTTCTCAGGAATAATTGGTCACCTGGAGCTTATTCAAATTGCAGACTTCTGGGCCCATCCCTAGAGACTCCAACTCTGGTTCAATGTTCTAGAAGCCGAGTTAAATATGGTAAGCTCAACATAGTTAAAAAAAAAAAAAAAAAAAAAAAAGGTGGTCTAAAGACTTCACTGAGAAACCAACTGGGCCACTGGCGGATATTTATTAAGCAGCTACAATAGGCCGGGTGAAGGTTTGTCTTCCCCGGAGCGACAGAGAAGGAACCAGGAACGTCCGTGCCCTTGAGGAGCTTACGTTCCAGGGACAGAAAACACCAGGGATGCTAATAAATCAGCAGCTCGTGACTGCGTCCTACAGGAAATGAAGCCGGTGGCCAAGGACTGGCGCAGCCTTGGGTGGCAGAGAGGGTCCCTATGGAATGAGGAAGGAGCTGGCAGTCAGCACAGAGGGAAAGCAGCCCGAGGGCCCTTCCTTCTTCCCCCACCTCCCCTCACCCAGGCCCCATCCGAGAGAATGTCCCAGGGAAGCAAGCCCAGGATAGGGAAGGCGCCTTTATTATCCAGGTCCTCAGAGGACAGAGGACACTGCGATGGGGAAGGAGCAGGCGGCTCCGTGTGCCCAGCCTCAGTCCCTCCGGCCTCCTCTGGCCGGGGCAGCGTCCGGCCCCCCAGCCTCCTGGGAAACGCGCTCACCCATCTCCTCACACGGGTCCCTACAGTCTCAGGCCAAGCCAGACGCGGCTGAGCTGAGCTGGCAGGGGTGAGATGCCCAGCCCTCAGGCCGGCCCCTCGGGGCCCCGGAAGCACTGCCTGTGTGGGCGGGGCCTCCCGAGCATCCTTCCTGGTTTGGAGCCCGGGGCCGGGATTGGCCTGCTGGAGCTTGGAGAACGTGACATCACCGAGGAGGCTGACCCACTTGCAGCGGGCTGAACAACACACGGGGAGGATGTGAGCCTGGACCTCCTGGGAGGAGGAGGGGAGCCGGGTGACACAGGAGACTCCCAGGGCGGGGGGGCCGCCAGAGGCTGGAGTCCCCAGGTCACTTCTTCTTGGCCCGGTCCGCCGCGTCCAGGGCAGCCATGTTGCGGGCGGCTGTGACCAGGTGGACGACGCTGATGAGGGATTTCATCAGGGCGATCGGGGCCGTGACCCACAGTCCCAGCCGGAAAAGGCCCACGGAGCCAACTGCGGGGAGGGAGCAAGGGCAATGCTGAGGAAGTGGGGTGCAGGTGAGGGGAGGGCCCACGTCTCCCTGGGCGGGCCAGGACCGCCCCCTCCTCCAGCCCGGCCCTCGTCGCCTACCTGCAGGTCCCTCGGAGAAGCTGAACAGGTAGAGGAGGCAGTAGAACAGCTCATTCCCGGCACACAGGGTGAACAAAGCGGGCTGCACAGAGAGCAAACGGGCTGCTTACACAACAGGGCGGGCAGTGTGCAAACCTCCCCCCCCACAACGCACACACAGGATCGGGGGCCGTCTCTCTGAGGGTGGGGAGCCAGAACTGCTGGGGAAATAAGGGTGTGGCTGGCAGGGAGGAATAAGGAGTAACCTCAGGATATTACTTCCTGCTTCAAAAACCACCTCCTGCCTGAACAATTCCCAGGCCCTCCCCACCCCACATCCCAGCTCACAGGGCCGTCCTCCCCGGGGCCCAGCTGAGTGAGTAAGCGGAGGAAATGCTCACCCGGGAGGTATAGTAGATCCGAAGCACTGGGTTTCCCGACAGGTCGATCATCTTGTGACTTTCGCTGCCTCGGACCACAGAGCTTGGGGAGAAAGCAGAGGCTTCCATGAGCGTGCATTACCACTGACACCCACTGATCCTCACAGCAGCCTCCGGAGGAAGGCGCTGGGGTGGCCTCTGCACAGAGGAGGACCGGGAGCCCAGCTGGGCACCAGTGTCAGGCCCAAAGCCACACCATTACCGAGTGGGGACACAGCCAGCATTCAAATGCCACATTCAAAAGCCCCTTCCCACCCCCCCAGAGCAGGTAGCTATTTGGAAGCCTTGGCTCTCAGTCAGAAGAGCTTTAGGGTTTGCTTAATGCAACGGTAAACAGAACTGAAGTTCACAGGGAGAGGACCTGCCAGTGGTTGTTCAAAGCAGGCGGAAAAGGAGACCTCAGAAGCCTGCAGCCATCCCGGACAGTCCCCCCGCCCCCCTCAGCAGGCCAACCCTCCCCCCCAGTGCTGCGGACCTGTGGAGGTGCAGCCAGTGGCTGGCCACGTCCAGGCTCATGCTGAGCTGGAAGAGAAGGGTGGCACGCGGGTACAGCAGGGCCAGGTTGACCAGCAGGCACATGGTGGCACAGCGGTCCGTCAGCATGTCCAGCATGGCCCCAAACCGGGTCCCTGAAAAACGGGGGCGCTTAGTCGGGAAGACACTGCCAGGGGCCATGTGTGTGTATCCCTCTGATGCCAAGTCTCAAAGATGAAAAATGTCCACCATCCACTGCCTGGGAGAAAAGCAGGCTGCACTCCATGGGGTGCGAGGTCAAAGGACAAGGGTCACCATGACGTGAAATGAGGAGGCATGGGAGTGTGGAGAGAGAGTGGTGCATTTACAACTTATCAACCCCAGAACCAAGGGCCCAGGTCTCAAGACACGGAGGATGGAGGCCGGAAGTGATAGGGGAAGTCCTGGAGGTGGGCCTGGAGCACAGACTCAACCCTCCAGAAGCCTCCCACCCCCGCCCCTGCCCCCTCCCTCTGACAGGCCTTCCGGAACGCGGATCTCGCTGTGCCTGGCACACAGCGAACATGCAGTCCATACCTGTTGACTGATATGAACGCCAAGACCCCCAGCACTGTCGCTGCCATCCAGGCCAGCTATCACACGCCCAGCACCACCAGGGCTTCTCCTCAACAGCTAGCTTAGGTCCCCTCTACAAAACCAGGCCACTGGGCTCTGCTTTAGAGAGATGAGAATGACAGCGCCCTCTGGTTCCGGAGAACCTGCCCACCCTGGGGTCCCCAGGAGGCAGGAAAAGGAGCTGGGGGGGGGGGGGGCGCCTCACGGCTGGCTGGGGGGAGTTGTCTGTCACCTTGATTAAGGATTCGGGCAGCATATCCATCGAAAGCGTCCAGAAGTCCGCTAAGCAGGTAGAAGGAGGAGGCCGTGAGGGGGCAGCAGGGCATGAAGTAGAAAGAGATGATGGCGAAGACAATCCGGGCATAACCTGGGATGGGGCGGGGGAGACAGATGGGGCGGGATCAGGAAGGCTGCCCCAGGCCCCGCTCCCTGCCGCCCGGCCCGGCGCCGCGGGCAGCACTCACCAATGAGGTTAGGCACGAACAGGAAGATGTTTTCGCTGGGCATCGCGGCGGCCCCCTTGCCCATCCGGAGGTGCCAGCTGTCGCCGCGCGGCCTCCCGCTCCCGCCCGGCCCCAGATGTCACAGCGCGCAGCCCGCCGCAGCCGCAGCCCGGGCCGCCCCAGATGTGCGCGGGGCGCGGGGCGCGCGCACCCCGCCCTCCCTGTGGGCGGGCCCGCGCCTCCGCCCGCCCCGCAGGCGCCGCAGCCCCCAGCTGCGGCCCCTCCGGCTCCGGGGGCGCTCAGCCTCCGAGAAGCTACGCTAGCGCGCTCCTACTTCCAAAATTGGAGAAAGGCAAAGAGGCCTTAAAAAAATGGCTGCGGCCCCTTTAAGGCCGGCAGCTTCCTTTTCCTTTTCCTCCCTCCGCCCCTTTCCATCGGCTCGTACCAAAGTACGGAGGGAGGAGCAGGGGCAAAGGAAGGCACGGAGCGGGGGGTCCAAAGAGCAGGGGCCTAGATAAGCCTCCATCCTTTGCTTCCTGGGGCGGGTGTGGCCTCCTGGAGACAAATATAAGGAGGAAAAACCCGGCCCTCCGGCGTCCGCGGAGGCGAGGCTCGGTAGTACGGCCCGCGCCGCCCGCGGCCCCGCCCCTCCCCCGCCCATGGGCGCTCCCGGGCTCGCTGCGCGGCGGCGGCTAGAGCGGCCGGAGGGCGGCCGGGCGGGCTGCTCCTCTAGTGCCCCTAGTGGGGGGAGGGTGAGCGCCCGGCTCCACCCTAAGCGCTGCGCCCGCTCCTCCACCTCGGGCGCTGGGGTCACCGCCCCCTGGCAGGGACCCGAGGCGGGTGGAGGAGAAGCCGGAGGAGCGCTCGCGACTCTCCGGGAAAGTGCTCCCCCGCCCCTCCCGGCCTTTGGTTCTGGAATCTCTGATCTCCTGGCAACGGGACCGCGGAACCCCGCCGACACCGAGGGTCTTATAGGAACGGGCAGCGGCGCCGCCGCTGGGCCCCCTCTTTCCCTCCACCTTCCTTCCCCACTCCACTCCCCGTCCCCAGGACCTGTAATAGAGCCCCAAGCCTCCCCCGTCCTGCCCAGTAGCCCAAGATCTCAACCGTCTGCCAGGTCGGGGGCGGCCCGTCGGCCGCCTGGTTTGGGAAGGACTGTGGGTGGGAGGAAAGAGACAGTGGGGAGGGGATTATTGTGGAACTTCTCACCCCAGGAAGATTTAAGGCAACGGATTTTATTTTATTTTATTTTATTTATTTTATTTTATTTCCTCATCAACGGGGAAAGATGAACCTATGAGGGGAGAGAGCGAGGGCAGGGGGATTTCTAAACCCTGCAGTCCCCTTTCTTCCCCAGAGAACTACGAAGACAGGATGGTTTTTTTGCCTAAAGGCCTGGCTTAAATCGGGGCCTGGGGATGGTGTTGGAAGCGGTTGGAGGAGGTGGGCGGGTTTCTCAACCTAACACCATTCCACCTGCCCCAGGGGGATGGAAGCCTCGCCCACCAGGAGTAAGGAGAGGAAGGGGAGCGGGCAGTCCCAAGCTGCAACGTCCTTGACTGGAGGTTCGGTGAGCATTGGAGGGGAGTTCTAGAGATGGGGTGAGCCGAAGCAGAGGCCTAGGCTGAGGGCAGGCTCCCCCTCAGAGACTCTACCCCCAGCGCTAGGCCCCAGGCCCCAGAGACCGCCCCCCAGTTACGGGGCCTAATCTCAGGGCCCAGCGCTTCAACTCCTTAGATGCAGGGCCCCCAGTCTGGGAGCCCCCACCCAGTGCCCCCCTGTGGGAACTCCCAGGCTGAGCCCTCCGGTTCCCTTCAGCAGAAGCCCTCATTGTCCCGTTCTGAGGAGTTCCTGTCCCAGATCAGCACCGAGCTCACAGACGAGGCCTTGTTTGTGGCTGGCTACCGCGTGAACTCCGTGCCCTCCAAGAAAATGCAGACACGGGACCAAGGGACTCAGATATACAAACACGGTGATTCCCCCGCGTCAGGACGGCAGCTTCCCGAGACTCCCCCAGAACTCTAGTTCCGGTTCCGGACTCCCTCCCAGCCATGGCGACCTCTCCAAGAATCTGCCCACCTCCCCTACCTCCCCCACCTCACAGCCAGACTGCCCCCACTAGCCAGTCCCACTCCTCACTGCTCGCTGGGAATCACCTCAGCCCCCTCCCTCGCCGCCCTGTCTGTGGCTGTGTGTTTAGGGAGAGGCCCTAAACACACATTTCTCTGACTGGGGCCTCTGCTTCCAGAATTCCTCACCAAGACCCAAGGCACGGACACCCGGTGAGTGAGGCTTCCAGGGAGCTCTCACGGTTCCGGTGGAAAGATGAGCCTATGAGGGGAGAGAGCGAGGGGGCATTTTTAAACCCTGCAGTCCTATTCTATTCTGCGCTGACCCTCAAATTCAGAGTTCTCCTCCCTCTCCTTTTCCTTCCGCCATCTCTAGCTCTGACAGGAGCCATGTCTGCACCAAGGCACACCTTCCGCCGTCCCGTCGTGACCAGGTGTGTACGGAGCCCCCAGATGATGAGGTCATTCGGTAGTAACCAAATATTTAGGAACTTGGGACACAGAAAAGAATGATACAGTCCTTGCTCTTGTAGAGTTCACTGTTTAGTGTGGGGCCAGGTAAGTGTATGGCCAATTACAATGTCGTATGGGCTAGTGAGCACTGGAGGAGCAGCCCGCCCGGCCAGAGATGGAGACAGCAAGGGGAGCACTTGTCCCAGCTCAGTTGGGACAGAAACAAAAGGAATCATGGAGCTTCTTGGAAGAGGTGACATTACAGAAAGAATTTTCCAGGGGAAAATGTGTTAGTAGGTAGGGGTTATACCAAGTGTCAGGCTTGTGTGAGCAAAGGCGAGTCTCAGAGTGAGTGTGAGTATATGTGTGTGTCTTCCTAGGGCGGGGGAGAGGCGAGGCGAGAGTAGTTAAACTGTTGGAGTATGCAGGCAAGGTAGCCAGGGACTAAGCAGAACTTAAAAGATCGTTATGTGTGCCTTATTAAGATCCATAGTTATTTATTTACTTACTTATTTATTGTTAATCCTCACCCAAGGTTATTTTTCCATTGGTCTTTAGAGCCAATGTGAGTGTGTGTGGGGGAGGGGGGGGGGCGGCGTGGAGGGGAGAAACACCTAAATGAGAGAAACACGTCAATTGGTTGCCTCCTGCACCACAACCAGGGACCAGGGATTGAACCTGCCATCCTGGTACCTGCCCTTGACCAGGAATGAAATCCGTAACCCTTTGGTGTGTGGGTCAATGCTTTACCCACTGAGAACACTGGCCAGAGCAAGATCCATAGATGTTTTCCTAGCCAAGGAGTCATTGAAGAGATTTGAGCAAGACAGGTTGGAATTTGAGATTAGTCATTCTGGTGGTCAGTGGGGAGAGTGAATTGGAAAGGGGAGAGACCCGAGGCAGGGAGGCCAGTTAGAAATTATTCCAAGAGACGAAGCTAAAGATGACTAGGTCCTGAATTGTCACAGTGATAGTAGAGATGGAAGCAAGGGCAGGTATAAGAAATAAAGACCAACCCAAAGCAATCTGTTTTTAATACAATTCCTATGAAAATACCAATGGCATTTTCCATAGAACTAGAAGAAATAATCCTAAAATTTATATGGAAGCAAAAGGGACCCTGAATTGCCACAGTAGTCTTGAGAAAGAAGAACAAAATTGGAGGTATCATACTACCTGATATCAGACTATACTGCAAAGCTATAGTAATCAAAACAGCATGGTACTGGCATAAAAACAGACATCTTGATCACTGAAACAGAGAGCCCAGAGATAAACCCATGCCTATATGGTACAATGGAGTAATGACAAGCTATTCAGTAGATGGTGTTGGGAAAACTGGATAGATTCATGCAAAAAAAAAAAAAAAAAAAATGAAACCAGACTACTGTCTTACACCAAATACAAGAATAAACTCAAAATGAAATAAAAACTTAAATATTAAGATCTGAAATCATAAACCTCCTAGAAGAAAACATAGGCAGCAAACTCTTGACATTGCACTTAGTAATATATATGAAGTATATATGTGAAATATATCTCCTCACCCAAGGGAAACAAATAAAAATAAACAAATGGGGTTGCATCAAACTAAAGGTTTTTACACAGCAGAAGAAACTATCAACAAAACAAAAAGACAGGGGAAAAAAAGACCTATCTATTGGGAGAAGATATTCACCAAGGATATATTAAATTAAGAGGCTAATTTAGGGGCTAATATCCCAAATATATAAAGATTCATACAACTTAATACCAAAAACCCAAACAATCCAATTGAAAATTGAACAGAAGTCCCAAATGAGATATACACATGAAGTCACACTAATCATTAGAGAAATGCAAATTAAAACCATAATGAGCTATCACCTCACACCTGTCAAGATGGCTATCATCAGTAAATCAACAAAGTGTGGGCCAAGATGTGGAGAAAGGGAACCCTTGTTCACTGATGGTGAGAATACAGACTGGTGTAGTCACTATGAAAAACAGTATGGAGGTTCCTAAAAAAATTAAACATAGAACTACCTTATGACCCAGCAATTGCACTTCTGGGTATTTATACAAAGAAATCGAAAACACTAATTTGAAAAGACACATGCATCCTTGTGTTCACTGCAGCATTATATGGAAGTAACCTAAATGTCTATCAATAGATGATTAGTACATATATACAACAAAGTATTACTTGGCCATAAAAAAGAATGAAATCTTACCATCTGCAACATGGATGGAACTAGAGGGTATTATGCTAAGTGAAATAAGTCCGTCAGAGAAAGACAAATACCATATGACTTATTTGTGGAACCTAAAGAACAAACTAAATGAACAAACAAAACAGAAACAGACTCACAGAGAACAAACTGAGGGTTGTCAGATAGGAGGGGGTTGTGGGATTGGTTGAAAAAGGTGAAGGATGGCCGGGACCGGTTTGGCTCAATGGATAGAGCGTCGGCTTGGGGACTGAAGGGTCCCGGGTTCGATTCCGGTCAAGGGCATGTACCTTGGTTGCGGGCAGATCCCCAGTAGGGGGTGTGCAAGAGGCAGCTGATCGATGACTCTCTCTCATCGATGTTTCTAACTCTCTATCTCTCTCCCTTCCTCTCTGTACAAAATCAATAAAATATATTAAAAAAAAAAAAAGAAAAAGGTGAAGGATTAAGAAGTACAAATTAGTAGTTACAAAATAGTCATAACAAGGATGTAAATAAAGCACAGCATAGGGGATGTAGTCAATAATATTGTAATAAGAATGTATGATGCCAGGTGGGTACTTACCAGGTGGGACCACTTTGTAACTTACATAACTGTTTATATAGCTGTCACTATGCTGTACACCTGAAACTAATATAAAATAATATTGAATGTCAACTGTAATTGGAAAACGAAGAAAAATAAAGACCAGGAAGATTGAGTTTGGTAATTGATTAGAAATATTGGGGGGAGGGGATGCAGAGATCAGATGGCTGGGGTTTCAGATTTGTAATGTATGTCTGATATCAGAACTCTATAGTAGTTTCCATTTCGGAGTAAAAGCCGAAGCCCTTCAGTGGCTTACAAGGCGCTACATGATCTCTCTCCTCCCCACCCATTGTCCCTCCACCCTCATTGCCTAGAACTGCACCCCTGCTTCACTCCACTCTCGGCCATGCCAGCATTCTCAGTCCTTTTGGAGCGTGGAAGTCGTCCTCACGCCTTTGAACAGGTTGGGTTGAGGTGCCCATAGGAGCTCCAGCTGGAAATGCCCTGTGGATAGCTGGAAATAAGGCTTCAGACTCACTGAAGCTGTCTGATCTGGGAGGGAGGCGGCATTTGAAGGGTGTGCCGCCCTAGGCAGGGTGGGAGGTGGCGAACAGAATAAGAAAGAAGAGGGTGCTGAGGATGGAAGCTTGGGAAACCGCTCCTTTTAAGAGATTGGCAGAATGAATGTTGACCTATGAACCAGGATGGGGAAGGATGGAAGGATAAAAAACCATTCGACCTATGAACCAGAAGATCACAGTTGGATTCCTGGTCAGGGCGCATGCCAGGGTTGTGAGCCGGTCCCCAGTGGTAGGTGTGCGGGAGGCAGATGATCAATGATTCCCTCATTATTGATGTTTCTCTCTCTTCCTCTCTCTGAAATCAATACTTTTTTTTTTTTTTTAAGAGACTGGCAGAGGTGGGCAGAGGGATTCACGAAGAAGGCATAAAGGAACTGATAGTCACCAAGTGTTCATTGAGTGTCAGTATATGTCAGGTCCAGCAGGCCATGCGAATAGTCGCGTGTCTGACAGAGGCTGCTGCTTCAAAAGTTCACGACCGAGAGCAGAGGCAAATCCAGCTCACAACCAGCCCTGTTCTTGTCCTCCAGGATCTAACTCCAGTGCCTTTGGGACATTAGCTCTCTCCAAGTTGGTGTTGGAAGCAGCTTCAAGTAGCATGAAAGCCCGGGCCTGACTAGCAAATTTGCTGTTTACTTGATAGCCTTGTACGAGTTGCCGCCCCTTGCCGGTGTGTCAGATGGGAGCCTCGGACACAATGCCCTGTGAGGGCCCTGCCTGCCCACATAGCAGTTTATCTTCCTTCCCAAATGATACTTCATTGGGGATTTCATCCTGAGCTAAATAACACTCCTTCTTCCACCCGCTGGCCCCTACTGGTCCCCGGAGACTTCCCTTATGCTCAAGAAAGAACATGGAAGCTTATAGATATTGGAATTGCCCCTTGAATTGTAGGACATTGTAGGTGGTGAAAATGTTGGGTGGGGGAATGAATAGATTTGGGAGGGTAAGTAAATATGTGAATAAATAAATGGTAGATAAACTCATCAGTTTAATAAGCACTATGTGCCAGCAGTACTCCAGGAGCTGGAGCATAGATGTGAGCCAAGTAGAGTGCCTGCCTTCAAGTTTAAGTGGGGGTGGGAGTGGGTAGTTAGATGGTAGAGACATGGGTGGGGCATGAATGAGGGATGGATGGATGGACAGATGAGTGGACAGAAGGATGGGCAATGTTGGGTAGATGTGTGAATGAATTGATGGATGGAAACAGAATGGTGGGTGGGTAGATGGGTGATAGATGAGGAATGGTGGGTGGATGGATGGATAGGTGGGGTAGGGGTTGGATGGAGGGGAAGGATGGAAGGATAAAAAACCCTGCGCCTTGGATCTAGAGAGTCACAGCCTCTCTTTCTTTTCCAGGGAGCTCTGCCCAGCAGCTTGACCTCCGGAGGGTGATCCCAACCCTTTTGGTGCTGCTCTCGGCCCCTCGTGCCCTCCCCCACTCGGTCCCTGTACAACATGCCTCAGAGTTCCTCTTTCACAGCTCATTGATCACTCCCGTTTGTGGGGGACTGGCCGTCGTGAGCATCATCACCCCTGAAGCCTCCAAATGTCTGGAACCATCACACTCCGCTCCCCTCGCAGTGGGCAAGGACAGCGCCCGAAAACCAAGGCTTTAATAAAGGGACAGATCTTCCTCCTCCCAACCCAGGCAGTGCTCGTGTGACTTCTCTGGCATGGAGATGCAGGAGTGGCCTCTCTCTCTTTCTTTGTTTGCCAGATGTGTGGGCATATTGTGGAGTGGTTTTAATTCTGGGCGTTATCTATCAACCCGCTGGCAGAGGTGAGCTTACAGATCCCAACCAGCCTCCAGCCAAACGAACACTGTAAGGTCCTGGCCTGTGGCACCTGACGAGGTCCACCCTTGCCGCCTCTGCCACCAAAATCAGGCTGTGGTCTCCCCGCTGACCTCTGGGATCTCACGTCACATCCATTACTGGCCAGAAGGCACTCAGCGGGCTTCGTGGCATTTACATTCCAGTCTGGCTGATAGTGTAGCTTCCTGAGGAAGTCAGTTCATACCTCTGAGCCAGTTTCCTAACCTGAAAATGGGAATAATTCTCCTTTCCTCACAGGGTTAAAAAACGTGCATACAACGTACTTAGCTCAATGACTGGCACAGAATAAATGCCCCAAACTCAGACTGTTATCAATTTGCCCCATGTTCTCCTAAAATTCAACCCCCTTCGAGTATTTCAGTGTCCTTTTGAAGGTCCTAAATATTTAATTGTATTTAAATATACATTTTCAACTAAGTAAAAGTCAATTAATTGAGAAACTCTTTAGACAAACAGGCTATAGATTCCTTATAATGTCAAAAATTAAAGTAGAAATGGACCCAGGATACAAAACAGGCTATCTGGTTATGACACGCTGTAAATATGACCATTTCGTGGTAGACCTGTAATAGCAGATATGCTTAAGTGCCAAAATGGTGAGTGGGTGGAGACAGTACATTTGGATACAGAAATTCCTGGCGGGGGGGCCGGGGGGGTAAACATGAGACAAATTGACACCTGTTTGTCTCCTGCCAGAGTTGAGGGAGGAGATGGGACTCCCGTCAGCTCCCTCCTGGCGAGAAGAGTCTGGAAACACAAGCCTCGGTAGAGAGAAAGCTGAGGCCCAGAAGGGACTTGTCCCAGTCGGTCCTCCGCAAAGGCTGACCCTACAGCCAGGTTCTTGACCCCTTGACCTTGCCCTGAGCCTAATCTTAAATCCCCCTTCACCCCAACTGTTCCCCTTTCCCCAGCGCCACTTCCAATGCTCAGTGACCCGCCTTCCCACACCCCACCAGCCCAGTTACAAATGGTGATTTTCTGTTTATTGCTCAAAAACAAAAATCCAGAAGCAAAGGTGGAGAGAGGCTGTGGGCTGAGTAGATGGCGGGAAGGGCATAGGGGTCTTGTCCCAGCTCTCCCTTCATCCTCTGACCTTCCAAGCCCAGGGCTTAGGCTGGGCCAGAGCGTCGGGGAAGGGCAGAGCCTTCGTGGCCAAGGGAACAGGGCGCTCCGGGGCAGTCCTCGTGAGGTGCCTGGGCTGGAGGGGCGCCAGGAGTTGTGGTGGAGCTGGGTTCCCAGGCCTGGATCCAAAGCCAGGAGGGTGGGGCAGGCCCCTTATTTGGCAACTGAGAAGAGGTTTTGGGTGACAGGATGCTGGTTTATTTACTGTGGGGTCCCCAGGGCCAACAGAGCCCCCTTGTGGGACCAGGAGGCTATTTACACAACAGGAAGGAGAGGAGCCAGAGACCAGGCCTGCACCCCTCCCTGCCGAGGATGAGGAGGGAGGGACGTCCTGGGTCCTGCAGCCTTCGCCTTGGGGTTCAGATGGAAACTTCATACTCCCGTGTGTCCTGGAGACAGAGAGGGGGTCATTTGTAGAGGGGGATGGCGGTGGAGGAGGCAGCGAGAGGGAGTCTGAGCACAGGGGAGGGGAAGAACCTGGACTGCTAAGGTCACATTGGTGGTTTGGGGGCCACAGGATGGAAATGGATGAGTTCGGTTCATCCTACAGCCTATTAAAAGCACATAAGAATCTGAATTTCTGGATTGTCTTGAACAATCTGGCAATTGGGCCTGTTTCCACTATGGACTAGATGGAGCACACCTCATCATCTCCTACGTTCCCTCCTGATTGCTTTGTTCATCGGCATGGCCTTCGTAGGCAGCTGAGTGTGAAATTCCCGAGACAGATGTTACAGAGGCCATGAGAGAAGGTTCTGGGTCCTGGGGGAGCAGGGAAATGTGGCTCTCCGGGGGCAGGGAGAGGCTCACCCCAGCTTCATACAGGGGATTGCTGAAATCCGACTCCACGGTGATGGGGCTGTAGGAATGGGAGCCCGAGAAGCCGAAGAGGGATTTTCCCTGCAGCCTGGGAGGAGATGGAGAGGCTTAGAGAGAGGGGAGCCCCTACCCCGCCTCCCGCACTGGCAGGAGGGTGTGCCCGGCCACAGCTCCCTCAGTGCCACGTACTTGGTGTAGTATACGTAAACACCACAGCCGAGGACGATGACCAGGCCCAGGGGCAGCAGGATGGCCAAGGCGAGGTTCCCGCCCTCCAGCTGTCTTGATGGGTCTGTGGTTTGGGTCACTGGTGGGAGGAGAGGTCACTGAGCCGGGGCTGGGCTGAGCCCTGGGCTCTCCCAGCCTCCTGCCCTGGGCCCTGAACCCTGGGCCTCACCCCTCCGGGGCCTGGCCTCTTGCCCCCAGCCTCTGCCTTGCCCTCCCGACTCAGCCAGGCCTGGGTCTCCGCCTGTGCCCTCACTGACCTTCCAGTTTTCGGTTGTCCTGGAGCTCCTCATAGGCCACTGCAGGGAGAGGAGGGGGAGGGGACGGGGTCTGAGCCAGGGAGGGAAGGAGGCTGGGTGGAGGGCGGGAGCCCAGTGGGGCTGGGCTGGACAGCTTGGTTCTCTGCCCGAGGCTTAACCTAAGCTTTGTCTTCCTCTTGGTTGGGGAGGGGGAGGAGGAGTCAGGGCAGGGCCTTCTTCCTCCCCCTGCAGACCCCTTACAATTCCGGGTTCCTGACCCTGGGAAGTCTAAACCATCCAGGTCTATAGAATTTTCAAAAATAGGGAAACTGAGACCTTTCTAGAGGACAAGGGACTTCCAAATCCAAGCCCCTTCTGCTACATCCCTTAGGATGACTTCATGGCCGTGACTCCCCAGGACTCCTGGCTGGGCGCCCACGGGAGGAGAGCGGGGGCTCGGCAGGGCTATCACTGTCTCACATTTGCTACCTGACTTTCTCAGCCCTGTCACTCCCCAAACACTGCTGCGCCCCCTCCGGCCGGCCTGCCCAGGCACCTTTGCAGAGTGGGGGTTGGCTGGTCCACTGCGAGGGGTGGCCGGGCACACAGGTGATGGTGACCTCGCCGATGAGCTCGAAGCCCTCGTAGCAGAAGAAGCGCAGAGACTCGCCCGCCTGGTAGTGATGCTTGTACAGTGTCTGGTAGCCGTTCTCCGGCACCCCGGGGTTCAGGCACGGCTCGTACTTCACTGCGGGAAACACGCCAGTCACATGCCAGGGGCAGTGCTGAGCGAGCCACCCAGCCAGCCCTCCCAGGGGCCCCAGACTCACGGGCGCACTTGGGGACCCGGTCGCTCCATTTGGGCGTGCCCGTGTCCCGGCTGTAGCAGGTGAGGACGGCTGCTCCCTCGAGGCTGTACCCCGGCAGGCAGCGGTACTGGACGTGGGAGCCAACGGGGAAGCCAGCGTCCGAGGTGGTGCGGTGCCCGTTGGTGATCTCACCGGGGTCAGCACAAGTCATGACTGTTGGCAAGAGGGCAGAGTCAAGGGGAGCCAGTGCCTTAAAAGACATCCCAGCTGAAACCGGTTTGGCTCAGTGGATAGAGCTTCGCCCTGGGGACTGAAAGATCCCAGGTTCAATTCCGGTCAAGGGCATGTACCTTGGTTGCCAGCACATCCCCAGTAGGGGGTGTGCAAGAGGCAGCTGATTGATGATTCTCTCTCATCAATGTTTCTAACTATCCCTCTCTCTTCCTCTCTGTGAAAAATCAATAAAATATATTATAAAAAAAAAAAAGACCTCCCAGAAGCTTAGAGCTAGAGATGCCTGAACCCCCTACTTGCCACTATTTCCTCAGAATGAAGGGAGTGGTAGTTGGAAAAACTTATAATTCAATGCATTTTATATTTGTTTGTTGTTGTTGTTTTTTTTTGGGGGGGAACACAGTGATTGGGGCAACGTAGGCCCCCATCCCAGGATAAAATGTTAATATTTAACCACTGTACTGAGCATAGCAGCTGAGTCCCCGCAGCGTCAGCCCTGCACGGCAGCTCATCGGCAGAACAGCTGCCTCCTGCTCCTCCATCCCAGCTTCCCCCATCCCCGCTCACTGACAGAGCCGGCTGGCCCCTGAGGGTGTGGAGTTTACAACTTGTGGAAGAGTCATAATCGCAGCCATTTCTTACATACAGACTTGTGCTAAATGTTTACAAACATGATATATACTCTGATTATTTTAAAAACAAACCCAGGAGAAACCCTCAGGCTGGCCTGTGTTTCTCAGGAGTTAGAGCGTGGGCCCGAGGACCAGAGGCTCTCGGGTTCGATTCACTTCCCAGCCGGGGCAAGTGTGGGAGGCAACTGGTCAATATGTCTCTTACATCAATACTTCTCCTCCCCCTCCCTTCCCCTTCCACTGTCTGAGAAATCAATGGAAAAATATCCTCCAGTCAGGATTCAGCAACAACAACCAAGACTTGATATATACTCTGATGGTCCTGAGAGGTCAAGATCACTGTCGTTTGCCCGGGCCCGAGGCTCAGGGCAGTCACGTGATCGGAGTCACTCAGGGAATGGAGAGCTGGGCCGCTCAGGGCACAGCCGAGGAGCACTGGGCTGCAATGCAGAGAGTCGGGTCTCGGGCTCATTGTGCCTCTTCGGGCAGGCTCCCTCTTGAGCCTGGAGCAGCTGGGCTAGGCCTCCTCGCTCTGGACCTGCCTCCCTCCTTTTCTGTCCTGCCTGGGTTCTAGACTGGCCATCCTATGAATCCTCCCAGATAGGGGAAGCTGTGGCAACTGGACTTGTGTCCAATCCGAATCTGGCCTCCTGAAGCTTATGCTCACTGGTCCCACCAGTGCCCCCCAGGGCCAGGCAGAAGACCCACAGTTTTTATCCTCATAACGGGCTGCCACACTGGGAGAAAGTGGCACAGTGCCACCTCTTTTTGCTCTTCTAAAAGATAAAAGCTCCCAGCTCCTATATTTATTTTTAAAGTGTATTTTTTAAAATATGTTTTTATTGTTTTTTTTTTAAAGAGAGGGAGAGAGATGGAAACATCATTTAAGTGCCCCCTGCATGCCCCTGTCCACAGGATCAAGTCCACAACCGGGCCTGTGCCCTGACCAGGAATCAATGAGGTTCATGGAACAATGCTCAGCCGACGGAGCCACAGCCTGGTCCCAGCTCCTTTAAATATCACCTCTCTGTGAACTGTCCTGCCTCTTCCCTGGGACAAATAACCCACCCCTTTCCTACAGCCCTCGTCACACTCACACACTCACTTACTGTTCCATGCACAGGCTCTGTGTGAAAAACTTCATTTGCTCTTCACAACCCCTATTCCTACTTCACCGTTGAGAAGCCTGGCTCAGGGTTGTTAAGTGCTAGTGGTTACCACTCTGTAATCTCCTGAGTTGTTTAACCAGCTGTCCCTCTCTCAGACTGTGAACTCCATCAGGATAGGGAGGGACCCCAACCTCTCTGTGTAACCCCAGCCCAAATCCAGCATGGGGCTTCAGTGCCTGCCTAGGTCCCGGCAGAGTGACTCCCTGCAATGGCAGAGGTTGGGGACCGAGACACTGGCGCAGGACCTAGAGCAGGACAAGCCCTGACGGGGCGGATCCAGGGTGGGGGTGGGAGTAGAAAGAGGAGACAGGGCCCAGAGAGAACGGGGTCAGAGAGCAGAGCAGTGCCAGAGAGCGGGATGCAGCCCCGAGAGGATGAGATTGAGGTCCAGAGGGAACAGTTTCGGGCACCGAGAAGCAAATGAGTGGAACCCAAAAGGCATAGGGCGAAGCCTGAGAAAGATGCCGCGCGGGGCCCAGAGAGAAGGGACGGAACCAGACTGGGTGGGGACAAAGGACGGAGGCGGGGTACAGAGGGAAGTGGGCGGGGCCAAGCGGAGCAGTGAGACACAGGAGGGCGGGGCGGAGCCCGGGAGGCAGGGCAGGGGGGGGGGGAGGCGGGGCGGAGCCGAGGGGGGGAGGCGGGGCTGGGCCGGGGAGGCGGTGCGGGGGGAGCCGGGGCGGAGCCGGGGGGCGGGGCCGGGAGAGACGGGGTGGAGCCGGGGGGGGAGGAGGAAGGCGGGGCGGGGCCGGGGGCGGGGCGGGGCCGGGGCGGGGCCTGGGAGGCGGGGTGGGGCCTGGGGGCGGGGCCAGGAGAGGCGGGGTGGAGCCGGGGGGGGGGGAGGGGAGAGGCGGGGCGGGTCCGGGGAGGAGGGGCGGGTCCGGGGGAGGCGGGTCCGGGGAGGCGGGGCGGGTCCGGGGGGGCGGGGCGGGTCCGGGGAGGCGGGGCGGGGCCGGGGGGGGGGGAGGAGGGAGGCGGGGCGGGGCCGGGGCGGCGGGGCGGGGGGCGGGGGGCGGTCCAGCTCACTCTTCTGGCAGGCGGGCGGGGCGGCGCTCCAGGACAGGTCCCACTGGCAGGTGAGGATGTCGGAGCCCAGCAGCTCATAGCCAGGTTCGCACTGGTAGGTGAGCACGGTGCCCCGGATCAGGTCCCCGTGGGAAGCCGTCCTCCAGCCCCACTCCGGGGGCGGCAGCTCAGGGCACGTGTCGTTCCGGGGGACCTCTGCTGGGGAGACAGGAGCTTAGAGGCCGCCCTGCCACTCGGGGCCCCGGTCCAGCCTCGGGGGCCTCGCTCCTGCTGGAACCCCGCCCATCTTGGGACCCTGGTACCTTTGAAGTGCAACACGAAACCCTGGCCCAGGCCCGGGTTGGGGGGCCCGGGCGGCGCCTGGAACTGCAGCGTGAGGTCGGGCCCAGAGGAGAGGAGGCGGCGACGCGGCTGGGGTCCCCGCAGCTGGGCCAGGACTCGGGCGCTGGGACCGTCCCCGTCGAACAGTGTCAGCATGTCCCCTTCGCGCACATTCAGGCTGCAGGGAGTAGGGCCAGATATAGAGGCTGGACTACATCCCATCCATCTGGCCTCCTCAGTTTGGGCCAATTCTGGGCTTCTCTACGCTAGTCTCCAGGTTCCACTAGGGCTGTGGGTCCTCGTGCTCTGGATCATCCCGCCCAACTGTAGGCCCCGCCTGAGGGGCTTTTGGCCACGGCCACTTCCGGTTCTGTCCAGTCCCATTAACTACCTCATATCAAGTCAGCTCACTGCACCCTCCCCACACCCACTTTAGTTCTGCTGTTGCTGCAACAACTTGGGCCTGGGTCCCTGGAAATCTGCTCCGGGGTGGCCTCAGCGACAGCCCCAGGGGGAGACACCAGAGAGGATGCCCTTTTCCACCACAGCCCGGGGGAAGGCCCATTCACCCCACTTCCCTGTCCAAGACTGGCTGACTAGTGATTTGTACCCCAGTCTGCCTGTCAACCCACACCCCATCAGGAGCCGTTAGTCTCCTCGTTCATCAGACCACACATTCACCCAGTCAGCCTGGGGGTGCAGGCTGGTGTGTTGTCATACCAGTTTGCTGAGCCCACACCCACCGCATCCTCTGCGGCACCCAAACATACATCTCAACTTGGAGCAAGATGCGCTTCTCTTCCTGGACGTGTAGGCCCCACACGCAGTCCTGGCTGGGGCTGTAGCTCTGGGGCCAGTCTGGAGAGAGGACCACACCAGCTGGCTCTGACAGCTCCCCTCCGCACATGGCTGGGGTAGAAAGGGTGTCAAATCAGGACCCGGGTGGGCACGCAGTCTCCATTTCAGCACAATCCTCACCACGCCCAACTGTACGCAGCAGACCGCCTCACGGGTTCCCTGCCTCCCGTATTTTCTTGCCACCCTCGTCCTGCTGTATCCAATCCCCAGCCCTGCTCTTAACCCTGCCCACTCTCCATCCAGCCCTCCACTTAGCCCAACTCCACTTCTAGCTGTTGAGACATTTGGGTTGTGACTCCTGAATTCTGTAACAAGCCCACCAATTATTTATGAAAACTATGTCCCTGGAAGGGACGGAGATTACCCACGGCCTGCGTTTATTAGGTTTGGATATGCAGGTGTCTGTAAATGGCCTTCCTGGGACTCCCAGCTCAGGGGGTCCTCTGTAGACAGAAGGTCTTCCTGGGGACACGGAAGGCTCACCCTTACAGGCTGGCTCGGAGTCATTCCAGTGGGGTTCTGTGGGGTCCACACACTCGATAGCATTGGGGGGGCCCGGGGGCTCCAAGGCATATCCCGGGAGGCACGAGAAGGTAGCCAGTGCCCCTGGGCGGTACTCGGGGTCGGTGGTGGTGACATTGCCGTGCGCCAGGAAGGGGGCGAAGCAGCGGTCTTCCTCAAAGGCTAAGGGAGAGTCAATCACACAAACTAAGCATTAGGACAGGCCTCAGGGGGTCTCAGACGGGCTGAATTCAAGTGTTGTTTGGCCACTCAATAGAATGCCTTTGGACTTAGCTTTCACTCTCCAGTTTCCCTAAAACCCCAACCCTCCTCGCTCGTACATTTATGTCACCTCCCGGCCTCTGGAGGGAAGCCCCAGGGCTAGTCACATCCTAGCCACCATTCCACAAAGGCCCACAGACAAAAACACCACTTGCCCAAGGTCACACAGTAGGGCAGAGGCAGAACCAAGTCTGAAACCCAGGATGCTTGATTACTGGCCAGAAGCACTTGCCTCTGGAAAAGGAGAGGAGCGAGGAGCAGGCCTTAGGAACACTGGCTCACGCAGGTGTGTTCTCTTCTCAAAAATACCTGTTGGGTTCTGATAATCCCCGGTTATCCATGCTGGGGCTGGAACCCAAAATGCAGCTAACACAAACGCTAAGTTTTGACTTTGGACTAGGTCAGCAAAAATGAACACTTGTAGAGCGTTGTCGTTTTCCCCCACCTGATCATACCTTGGCTGCAAAACTCTGTGAGCTCAGATTCAGCTGCCTATGATACAGAGCTGGACTCTGAGCTCAAGACAGCAGCGGCCCACAGCTGTGGGGGCTGGCCTCGCACCTACGCGTTCTCTTTGCACTCCCAGAATATAACATGCAATTTATTCTGTAGATTCACTGTTTATTTCACAGTTACTTAACCTTATAAGGTATCATGGCCAAATCCTACACATCCATTAGGGCCCAGAGCCAATTCCATTTCTCTTTTGATTCATTTCATTTCTGGGCATTTCACTCTCTTTGTGTCTCTCCTGCTACTCTTTGCACAAATCCTCTGCTAGAGCCACACTGAAATTCTGTTTCCCAAAGATGCCTCTCTCTACCTCTTTACCACTGCTCACCCTGTTCCTTCCACCTGAAACATTCCACCCAATTTCTCTCTTTTAAAATTATCTCTATCTGTAAGGCCCAGCTCAAATGCCCCCTGTCCCATGATAACTGACCTCGTTTCTACCTGTCCAGCATTTTGGCACACATGCCTCTCCCACTTCCAGTCCAGCAGGTTCAGTTGGGACCAAGGAGGGATGGCCTCGTGATGTGGATCTGCCCCTAGCCACGGTGATCGGCTCGGCATAGGCATATGACCTAAGCCAGGCCATCAGAACATTTCCTGGCATTTTTTGCTGAAGCCCTTGGGAAAGTGGTATGCTTTCTCTCTTTTTGATAGAGTTACTAAGTTGGTCACATGCTAATTTGGCACTGCTGGGTTCACCACAAACTGAGTGTTGGAGAATGAAGCCAACGCAGAGGAAAGAACTGAGAGGTTAAGGTAACTGGTCTCTTGGCTGTGTACCTGGATCCAGCCATATATGAAGCTTAAATAGAAAAGACTACCTCATGAAATCAGAAGAGGTCCATATAGTTTTGGGGTGGGAAGGCAAGTCAGGTTTCAGAAATCCAAACAGAGATGAGCAGGGATAGGGCACATGCTCGGGACCGTGTGTGGGCATCGGGAAGAGGGGAAGGGAAAGGGTTGGGGTCTGGGGGGGGACAGTTACCTTCAAACCGGAGGCTTAGCAGCAGGGGATTGGCAGGTGTCTCTGAAAGCAGCTCTACATAGAGGGACTGGGCGTCACTGATGAGGCCCCGCTCAGGGACATCATCCATGTCAGAGTCATAGATCACCGGGGACAGGGGACTGCCCCCTGAACGCACCATCAACCTGCAGTGGACAGAGGGCGGCCGGGAGCTCGGTTTCCCCTCAGAAACTGCTCCATCTCTTACCTGCTCTTCTTATTTTCTTATAAGTACCGCGTGCTAACCGACCGCGCCACTGGAGCGCCTTACTAATTTTCATAGCTATTGTTTTCAAACATTAATTATATGCCATGTACTTAGCTAAGCCTTGACATATTTTATCATGTTTAATGCTCACGGGAAACCTTGAGTCGGATACTATTATTATTATTACCTCCCGTTTTATAGATGAGGAAATGGAGACCCGGGAAGATTAAGGTGCCTGCCTGACGTCACATAGCAACGACTGGGCAGAGCTGGGGTGCCGGTTTGTTAGGTAAATAATATGATGCCGACCACCATGGCAAACACATATCTGGTGCTTACTGTGTGCTGGGCACCATTCTAAGCACGTTTCATATCTTAATGCATTTATCCGCACAGAAAACTTGGGAGAGAGGTATTATCTCCATTCTGCCAACAAGGAAACTGGCCCAGAGAGGCTAAGAGATTCATCTAAGTTTCCACAGCTAAGCTGTCTAAGAAAAATGACTGACCTGTGTTTGACACAGATCCCAACTAGGATCCACCCACGGTTTGTCCGTCTCCCACTGCAGCTTCCCTGTTCCCCTGAGGTGGGACTCTGACCCGAGGCCCAGACCCTCACCGGTCATTGTCCTCATCCAGCGAGACCCTCTCGAAATGCAGGTGCAGCCGGCGTCCCTCAGCTGCTTCGATGACCCAGCGGCAGGTGAGGTTGGGCCCTGCAGCTCCCCCGGGCTCAGGTGACACGATGCGGCCCAGTGTGGCGTTGTGGATGGTGCCGCCGCAGGATGCTGTGGGCAGAGGAGGGGCAGGTTAAGGTGATTTGTCCTCCCATCTTCAGAGCTGTTGCATCCATACCTTTGCCTGAGACCTGGCCTCAGCATGGCCTCTGCTCTGCACGCCCACCCCAGAGGACAGGACCTTTTCCGGGGTACTGCCCAGGTACCGTATTTTCCGGCGTATAAGACGACCCCCTAATTTTACAGTTAAAACATAGGTTTAGGCCTATATTCGCTGTATAAGACTACCCCCCACTCCCGAGGCAACACCAGTTCTTTTTTTTTAAATAGACCACCTCTCTGACTCAGCCAATCCAAGCAGGCTTTTTATGCATGCAAATTATACATGTTCTGTACCCGAAGCTACACTGTGTTCTAGTAAAAAGCCTGCTCAGATTGGCCAGAGTCAGAGAGGCGGTCTATTAAAAAAAGAACTGGTGTTGCCTCGGAAGTGGGGGGTAGTCTTATACAGCGAATATAGGCCTAAACCTATGTTTTAACTATAAAATTAGGGGTCGTCTTATACGCCGGAAAATACGGTCGGCACCCAGACCTGGAATAAGAAAACCCAGAGGGAGCCCTGGCCGGTTTGGCTCAGTGAATAGAGTGTCGGAGGGATCCCAGGTTCGATTCTGGTCAAGGGCACATGCCTGGGTTGTGGGCTTGATCCCCAGTGGGGTGTGTGTGTGTGTGTGTGTGTGTGTGTGTGTGTGTGTGTGTGTGTGCACGTGGCAGCCGATCAATGATTCTCATCATTGATGTTTCTGTCTCTTTCTCTCCCTCTCCCTTCCTCTCTGAGATCAATAAAGAAAAATATTTTTAAAAAAGAAAAGAAAACCCAGAGTGAACAGCCCCAGGATAGTGATTCCACCAAAATGAAGATTCCCCAGCTGTGGACATGCTGGGATGGGCAACCATGGGGGGTCCCCCTAATTTAAGTCCTCAGATGGAAAATCTTCACGTGGGGACCCCAGGATGAAGACTCTTCAGGACAGAGACCCTCCCACAGTTTGAGACTCCACCCTTCCACCCCAAGAATGGTGTCTTCTAGGATGAGCAGCCTCCCAAAGAAGGGACCTCGAGGATGGTAACTCCCAATATGGAAACCTTTCCAGAACATTCCCAGATGGAGACCCCCCACCAACGATGGAGACTCCAAGGACAGAGACCTCAGTGTAAAGGGCTCCAGATGGAGGCCCAGGATAGCTACTCTTCAGAGTCCAAACCCCTTCAAGATGGATAGTCCCCAAAGATGGAGACCCCCGAGAGAGGACCCTTCCAGTGAGGTTCCCAGGACAGAAGCCCCCTCCCCCTATTGTGGCAGGAGACTCACCCATGCAACTGGGGGGTTCACCGCTCCAGGCTGGCCGGGTGCTATTGAGGCAGACGAGGGTCTCTTCCCCATGCAGCTGGTAGCCTGAATCACAGTGAAAGGTGGCCGAGCCCCCAGGATGCAGATCGGTCACACTCACATCCCCATGGGCCGGCCGGGAAGGGAAGCCGCAGCTCAGAAGGTAGGCTGGACAGGAGAGCAGGGAGAAGGGGGGTTCATTTTCCCGTGTCACCCTCCCAGTGCCCCAGCACTTCCTCCCCTCTTTCCAAGACCCCCTGGGGGCACAAACTGGCTTCACATGGGCACACTGTCTCATGAAGCGCTCATTTCAACATCTCTCACCTCCTCTAATCTTTGTAATTTACCCACTTTGGCCTTTACTTCATAGATAAGGTACCTGAGACTCAAAGAAATTCTGGATCCCAGAATTCTTTTGCTATGTGACCCCAGGCAAATCGATTGACCACTCTGAACGCCATCCAGCTCTAATAATAACAAATAACATATTTGCAGAGCTTGTTCACCTTCCAAAGTGAGTTCACACAGCACTTTAGAGGTAGTCAGAGAAACACTGTGACCTATTTTCCAGATGCAGCCAATGAGGATTCAAGTTATTAAGTGTGTTGGAGCATTTCTTCCCTCTACACACACAGTGGACTTGCACTGAGGTACGCTATGGTATTATGCCCTCAGCTTTCACCCAGGGGAACCAATGAGACTCCTCTAGAAGCTTTGACTATTTTACCATTAAATGCATACTCACTGCTCTCTAAATGAATCTCCCAGTGTAAGTGAAAGCTAGGGAAAGCTTTGCTTTCATTAAAGAACTGTTTTTGTCTTTTTCTTTCTTGTTGTGAGATCTATGTAATCTCTCTCTCTCTCTCTCTCTCTCTCTCTCTCTCTCTCTCTCTCTGCCCTGGCCACTAGGAAGCTCAGAACCATATTATGGCTTATCCCTGGCAACAAAGGCTTGCCCACATTCTATTTTCTCAACTTCAATAAACATTACCTGGTACCATTTTTTTCTTATTTATTCTATTTAAATTTATTGCTTGAATTCTTTTTTAAAAGCCTCCTGCAATTCTTGTAGAATCATATGAGATAAAGCAAAGAAATAGAACGTGACTTGGTAGCAAATTATGGACTCTAAACTTGATCTTGACAGAGCTCTGTGTGTCTATTTCAGACCAGGCAGAAGGGCTGATAGCTCATTGAGAAGGGCTTCTTGGAAGAAATACATCAAAGCTGGGTCTTGTAGGAGGGGAAGACTACCATTAGCAGAGGGCTTGGGAGCTACCAGCTTGCCTAGTTCTTTGCTTTTTCTCACTCTCTAGCCCTCAGTGATTCTGTAAGAGACCTGGTCTCTCCCTATATTAAAAATTCAACAAGTAGTTCCTTGGTGGGGTCCTGAGGAGAAAGAGATGAAAAGATTCAGGCCTTACTTTGGGAATCTACAGACTACTGAGATAGACAGACATAAGAACTACTTTCTAGGAAACATTGATTTGAATAAATGTCAGCCTCTGTGATGGCTCTCTAGGACCAACAGAATCAAGTCTCAGTACTTTATTTGTTTGTTTGTTTGTTTATTTATTTTTAGGTCTCAGTACTTTAGATTGACATTTAAGCCCCACAGCAGGGTCTTTCCCAGCACATCCACCTCCAATTTTCATCACCTATGACCTGTGTATCCTACCTAGTGTAGGTTGTGACTCCTTATGGTCTTACCTCCATGTTTTTTTTTACACTATTTCCCCTATCTGCAAGGCCCTCTCTTTTTCTAATCTTTCAAGGAATAACTGATGTAGCATCTCTTTCAGGGAGGCTTCCTGACCCTTTCTCTCCCCAGCAGAGTTGGTTGCTCTCTTGCCTATACACAGTCCCACACATATCTCTCTATATAAAAGCCTAATATGCAAAGTGTCCCCTTGGGAGTTTGATCACTTGCTATAACCACCAGGGGATGGCATGGAATGAAGTAAGACCCTGGCTGGCAGCCAACAGCTGGCAGCCGGCAGCCACTAGGGACCCTACTTTGCACGAATTTAATGCACTAGGCCTCTAGTAAGTTTATACTCACATTAACCACTGATTACTGCCATTAAGAGATTGAATCAAGCCTTATTTATTTTGTTTTCTAAAAGCCTGGCCTAGGAGAAACCAAGATGGCAGCACCTAAGCTGCTGCCTCGCACAACAATTTCAAAACTACAACTAAAAGACAAAACGAACATCATCCAGAACCACAGAAAGGCTGGATGGGAGGAAATTCTACAATTAGAAGGAAAGAGAAAAGCACATTGAGACTCCAAGGAGCTGCAGAAGGCAGAGGCACTGAGGCATGCACGGAGAGGGCAGGCTAACTGAGTACTCTGCTGGCTTTCTCAAGTGGGAGGGAGACAAAAGCTCCTGACAGCTCTGAACTCTACTTCTGAGTGAGACTTTGGGGACCCAGACTCATTCGGGAAGAAACTGGACTGTTGGCAGCAGGTGAAACTCGAGGGCAGCTTTCTCTCAGAGGTGCTTGCAGTGATTACCACAGTACACTGAGACCCGGGACCTCGTAGGGCAGGGCTGATGGGAAGCCATTGCTGTCTGCTCCACCCTGAGACTCCATTTCATCCAAGCTGAGGACAGAAGGCTTTTGCAAGTCTTGTCTCATGAGGGTGTCTCCAGCACAGAAGTTCTCCCAGCATAGACACAGCTGTTTCTTATAGCCAATTTGCCTGGAGGTCAATTCCTCCTAGTGATACCAACAACAATCAAGGCTTAACTACAACAAGACTTTGCACATAGCCCACATAGGGGAGCACCAAGAGTGTCCATCTCAGGTAACTAGGGAGGCTGAGCCACTGAGCCCTATAAGACACCTAGCACACAAAGCCACTCTATCAACTCAGGGAAGCAGCCAAAATGCAGAGACAAAGAAACAGGTCACAAATGAAATAAATGGAGGAAAGCAAATGACTAGATATAGAGTTCAAAAACACAGTTATAAAGTTTTTCAAGAATTTTCTAGAAAAGGCTGATAAATTTAGCGAGACCCTCGAGGATATGAAAAAGGGCCAACTATCAATTAAGCATACACTGATTGAAATAAAAAATAATATACAGAGATCCAACAGCAGACTAGAGGATCGCAAGAATCAAGTCAAAGACTTAAAATACAAAGAAGTAAAAAACACCCAACTGGAAAAGCTAAAAGCAAAAAGAATCCAATAATGTGAATATAGTGTAAGGAGCCTCTGGGACAACTTCAAGCATACCAACATCAGAATTATGGGGGTTCCAGAAGAAGAGAGAGTACAAGATGCTGAAAACCTATTTGAAGAAATGATGTCAGAAAACTTCCCCCACCTGGTGAAAGAAATAGACTTACAAGTCCAGGATGTACAGAGAACACCAAACAAAAGAAATCCAAAAAGGACCACATCAAGACACATCATAATTAAAATGCCAAGAGCAAAAGACAAAGAGAGAATCTTAAAAGCAGCAAGAGAAAAACAGTTACCTACAAGGGAGCACCCATACGATTGTCAGTTGATTTCTTAACAAAAACTATGCAGGCCAGACAGGAGAGGTGAAAAAATATTCAAAGTGATGAATAACAAGAACCTACAACCAAGATTCCTCTACCCAGCAAAGCTATCATTCAGAATTGGTCAGATAAAGAGCTGCATAGATAATAAAAAGCTAAAGGAGTTCATCACCGCCAAAACAGTATTATACGAAATGCTGAAAGGTATTCTTTAAGAAGAGGAAGAAGGAGAAAAGGTAAAGATAAAAATTATGAACAACAAATACATATCTATCAATAAGTGAACCTAAAAATCAAGTGAATAAAATATCTGATGAACAGAATAAACTGTGAATATAATAGAATCAGGGGCATAGAAAGGGAGTGGACTGACAATTCTCGGGAGGGGGGAAAGAGATGTGAGGGGTGTGGGAAGAGACTGGACAAAAATTGTAAACCTATGGATGAGGACAGTGCGGGGAGGGTAAGGGCTGACTGTGGAGTGGGAACTGGGTGGAGGGGAGCTATGGGGGATGGTGGGAGAGGAACAATTGTAATAATCTGAACAATAAAGATTCATTTAAAAAAAAATGGGGGGAGGGGCCTGGCCTAGCTGATCAATTGGTGCAGCCAAGCAGCAATGTGACAGTGCAGAGCACTGGTTTTGGAGACAGGCAGATCTGAGTGCCAGGTCTAGCTCCATAACTTATTAGCTGTATGACCTTCATCAGGCAACTTCGTCTCCAAGGCCTCTAACCTATAAATGGCAATAATGATCATTATCAATAAAGATTGGCCTTTAAGTGAAACAAACAAACAAACATGCAAAGCAGCCAGCATATAAAAAGTGTTCAGAAAATGTTAATCACCTGCCTCTCACCAGCCAAAATTAATGAACAACTGGGAGTCAGGGACTTGGAATTCTGACTCTGCAATGAATTTGCAGGTGACTGGGCAAACCACATAATCCGAGTTGGCAATGGCCACCCCCAGGGTTGCTGTGGGAAGCAAATGAAACAACAGTTGTTGGGCTTGGGGTGAGGGGTGATGGAGACTTTGGTCTGTCAGAGAAGCTAATGAGGCCACGCTGGACCAGAGGCCCCAGCCAGGGCACATTTGGAAGGACTTAAACAGGGTTTTGGTCCCAAAGGTGCCTGGAGAAGCTGTAAAGCAGGGAAGACAGAGGTAGGTAAAGAAGGCCAATTTGTGAAATAACCCTGCTTCCCCAAATGTTCTACTTAGCCTAGAGTCCTATTTTCAATGCCCCAGAGAAGTGGCTGCTTAAAGGAGGCAGCAGAGGGACATTCTGTAATATCTGAAGTCCAACCCTCTGCCCTAGGCCCTCAAGGCATGCTCTTGCTCCTCAACAACTATATATGGCCCTGACTACCAATTTTATGTCCCTCAGTGCACTGGTCTCTCCACGAATAGGTCTGGCGCCGGGTCCATAGGAATCCCTGGAGCAGGCCCCCAATGGAAGCCTCAGGAAAGGCTGAGAGGGTATGAAGTGGGGGTATAAGTTGTGTGTGTGCCCTGGGAAAGGGATATGGGGTCAGCAAAGCTAACAAAGGGGCAGGCAAGGCCATGAGGTGATGTGAAAAGGACATTGACTTAACCCAGTTTCCTTGTCTCTGAGGAGCACAGGAAGGCTTTTTTGAGAGGCAACAGTGTGTGGAATGGGACAGTGGCTGGGCCCTTTGCACACATGTATGCATTGTGGAAAGGTTCCCTGTACACACAGGCGAGTGTGGATATACACGTGTGTAGGTTGTCTGTGGGGAGATGCTCGTGAATGCAGTCATGCACAAACATATTCCCCTTCCCTGCCCCAGAAGCAAGCAAGATCTTTCTAGGTCTCAAATCTGAGGCTGTCATTATCCTGCTTTAAATACTTCAAAATATCCCCCCACTCCCCCCGCTTGCTGGAAGAGTATGATCTCCTCATTGATGCTGATAAGAGCATGAACCCAATCCAACCTACTTCCTGGTTTGGTATCTTAGCTTATTTCTCCCCCCTCTCCTCTCTGTGCTTGTACTGTAATAGCAATGACTGGCATTTTTAGCTCTCACTGTGTACCAGCTGCTATTTTAAGCACTTGGCATGTATTAACTCATTTGATCATCTTAACAATATCACAAGGTAGGCATTATAATTCCCATTTTTCAGATGAGGCAATGAAAAGTTAAGTAACTTGTCCTAGATCACAAAGCTGTGACAATTCTACTTCCCATGATGACTTCCTTCAACTCTTCCAGGGGCTCACATTTTCTCTCCTCTCTGGGTTTTGGAGTGTGCTTTTCCATCCATCTTGACATCTGCCTTCCTTCCTCTTGTGTTCCCTCCTTCCCTTTCCCTAGCTAACTAATCTTTTAGGTCTCAGCTTAACCATCATCTCCTCCAAGAAGGAGTCCCTATATTCCACAGGAGAAATTTAGGTCCCTTTGGTATTTGCTCCTTTTGCCTGTATTCCTCCACCATAGGGATAAGGGTCCTGAGCTCACTGAATTATAATCATCCTGATTACTTGTCCATCTTCCTACCTAGATTCTGAGTTCCTTAAAGTCAGATTTATACGTGGCCTGTTCATTCCTCTCCCCAAGGCTAACTTGGGGCCAATATGAAGTGGGAACTAGCTAAGCATTTGCTGAGTGAATGGATGAGCTGTCACTGGGATGCATGCACACTCAGACATAGGTCTGTAAGTGTGTGAAATAACTGTGCCCAGGTCTCCTCTGAGAGTTCTGCCCCCAGGGTGCTAGTCAGGAGGAAAGGTCCCTGACATTGCCCTGTGCCTGGAAGTCTCCTAGGGATGTCCTTGTGCCAGTGTAGCCCCTGGACATCCAACCAGGGACCCTTACCCTGATAATGGATCCTGAAGCCACCGCCCCTTGGGACTCGAGGACTCTGGAATTGCAGGAGCAGCCGGTTGGTTGGGCTCCGAAGGACCTGTCCTTCTCCCAGCATTGAGGAGTTGGCCAGGAGTCGTGGGGCCAGGCCTGTGTCTCCCCCACCAGCCAGCACCAAGAGTTCCTCCTCCTGAGACAGGTTCAGCGTCTGCACCTACAGAAGCCAGACCCAGACTCACCAGGGTAAGACAACCAGAGTGGAAAACCCCAGAAGTGCCCCCACCCCACCCCACCCCGATTGCTTTCCTTTTCCCCTGTATGTGGCAGCCCAAACACCGCGGTGACATTGGCCCGGTTGTAGAACACCAGGTGTTATCTTGACCGTCAGAAAGCAGGCCCATTTGTGTTAGGAAACAGGTTCCCTGGCTCTTAGGTCAAACCTGAGCACACCCTAGGACCCAGAGGAAAGGGCTCGGAGGTGTCACAATTACATGCACTTACCTGGATCTCAATGCCATAGCCAGGGTAGACATGGATGCTGTAGGTACAGTTCAGGAGACCCAAGGTACGGCTGGTGCTGCTCCCTAAATCTGGAGACTCAATATGCCCTTCACCTTCGGAGATGTTGTTATTACATAAAACTAAAAAGATAGAAGTGGCTGGAGTCGAACAAATCCCTGTGTTCTTGCCCTCCCATTCATGCAACACTGGGGGCCCCCATCTCTCTTCTCCCTCACGTTCCAAAGCTCCTCTCCCCCCGTGCCCAGAATCCCCTTCCCCCAACTGTAACATGGATAAAACATAGAAGGTACATGGGATGGGCACATATTATTAAGCAGAAACTCTTCTTCTGTCTGTACCCAGATCCCTTCCTGCACGCCTTCCCTGCAGCCTCTCTCCTATTCATATCCTCCTCCACTGCACACTACTCCATTTCCTTTCAGTCGCCTCACCTGGGCTGGTCACCGTGGTGGTGACGGTTGTTGTGGTGATGATGGTGGTCGTGGTCTCCTCCTCTCCTCCCTCAGGCCCAAGGGGCGGGCCTGGGGAGGCAGGACCAGAAAGGGGTGGGGCTGTAGTTCCTGGGGGCGGGGTCAGCAGCTCCGGCGCGGTGGGGCCTGTCCCCCTACCCTCCTTAGGGGTTACGGCTGTTGTCAGAGGCCCTGTCCCTGGCTCAGTGGCCCGAGGCAAAGAGGGTGCTGCAAGAGTCTGGCCGGCTGGAGGGGTGGCTAGCGTGGGGTCTGGATCAGATCCTGGGACAGTGCAAGGGAAGTCAGGGCACAGGAAGAGCAAATTGGTGGGTCTTGAGTGGGACAGAGAGCTGAGGGAAACTCGGGGTTCCCCACTGAACCCAAAAGATCTCCCCTACAAGGTGCAGAACCTCCACTGCTATTTTTCTCACCCCAATTCCCCACCTCCTCCCAAGGCTTCTACAGCCTGACACCCTCTCCCCTTTCTCTTCCACTGTTCACATCTGGACCAGATCCTTCTACTCTGATGTCTCCTTGAGCCTCTCTCTCTCCTCCCCATTCAGATCTGGTTCCTCTCCTAGCTACCGCTTTCTCTTTCCTCTGTCTTGCTCTCTCTGGAACTCTTTTTATTTCTCTGATTAGTATTCTTATCACTCTCTGATTTTATGATTCTAGGTTTACTAATCTCTGTATTTCTTTCTCTCTCTCTCTTTTTTTTTTCTTTCTCCCACCATTTTTCTGATTCTAGTTCTCAGATTTTCCATCTGTCTTTTTCTGATTATTTGTTTTTCTATCTCTTGACCATTCTATTTCTCTGTCTTTGCTCAGTTTTGACTCTCTCTGACCATCACCCTCTATCTCCCTCTGAATTTTAATGGCTTGGTTCCCCAATTCCTTGAGGGAATGTCTCTCCCTCTGCCTCTGTACTACTCCTGCCACTCTGGGAGCCTCACCTGGCAGGTAGCCCATGTCTGGGCCCCTCCTCAGCAGGGCCCCATGGAGCAGCTCGGCCAGGGCCTCCGAGGCTACCGTGGGGGTCTCGCTTCCAGGCTCCAGCAGTGCCTCCTCCTCTTTCACGGGCAGACCTGAGAGATGAAGCCATATGAGCCTTTCCACTGCCCACACTCCTCAATTCATCAGAAACATCTTTTCTGGAGTTATTCCCCCCTCCTCAGCTGGTCCTGCAGGAGCTCACAGGGTCCCAGGCTGAGCTGAGAGCTAAGATGGAAGGAGAGGCTCCCAGGTGCCCCTCACAATCTCCCACCTTCTCCTCCATGTTTCCCCCCAGGCTGTGTGGGCCTTGGGCGAGCACCTTGGCTCCAATGAACCCTGGACATGCCAGCCGGGTGGAGAAGGGGGGTGGTGCTGCCTTCATTTTCACCTCAGTGGTCTCCTGATCTGCTGGTCTGACAGCACCTCCCAGCCCTTGCTTCCGCAGTACCCAGCTTTCTCTCTGGATTTCTATCTCTGCAGTGTAGTGTACGTTCTCTCTCTCTCATCTCCCCTCTCCCCTCTCCCCTCTCCCCATTCTCTGTGGTCGCTCCCTGGTCTCGCTGAGGGGCAGAGTGGGGACTGAAAATCTGGCCTCCGAGCAGTGCCTCTGCTCATCTGTCTTTGTCCATACATCCAAGAACAGTGTGTGTGCAGTGCCTGGCATCCCTCCCAGCATCTCCATCTCCTACTCAGGTACTCTGCGTGTTCTGCCGCCTCCACAGACAGCCCCCCAACTTTCCCAGCCCTTCTTCCTGTATGTAACCCTTGAGATGCTGCTAAAAGCTACCCTCACTCATCCCCTCCCCCTTCTACAGTGGGGTTAGGGGCTCCAGGTACAAACTAGAAAGCCCTAGTGAGTCCCTTTCCATCAGCTGTGTCCCTCCCCCGCCTCAGGAGCTTTGGGAGACCAGGGTGTTCCGGGAAAGGAGGGTAAAGGGCCCCCCTGGGAGCTTTCATGGGCCCACCCCCACCATCCCATGTCCTTACCCTGAATCCAGGGGCAGCTCAGCAGAATTAGGAACAGCAGCTGGGGAGGCGGTTGATGCTGGGCCTTGGGAGTCCCCATGGCGACTCACACTGATTTCTCTTCTCTGCGCCTCTCTTAAATAATCTAGCTGTCACCTTTCTTCTGTCTCTGTTTTTCCTTTTATTTTTTTTTTCTTCCTGGCAGTTAACAAGGAAGACAATTTCTCTACCCCTTGGGATGGAGGCGCAGAATTGGGCTGGGGGTCGCCTGGAGCCCAAGCCTCTGCCCAATCTCCTCTGTTCTCTGCTCCGGGATCTGAGGGAGAGGGGGCGCGGCTCCGGCTGCAGGGGGTGGAGCCGAGAGGGCCAAAGGACCGGGCCTCCTGGGTTACCCTCCTGCTCTGGCTCCTGGGTCCACCACGCTGGCTGGCTCCCAAAGTGTGATCCAGCTGGGAAAAGGCAAGACAGCGTGTGAGGGGCCTGGGGTGGGGTTGAGGGTCTACTGGGAGCTCTAGAGAGGCTTGGCGGGGAGGAGAGGGGGTTGCGGAACCTAGAGAGCCGAAAGCTCGGCACTAGAGCTGCGGGAGGGAGAAGCTGAGAAAGGTGTCGAGTCCACGTCAGATCCTGGGGACGGGCGAAGGGAGGGGCCTGGGATTTATTGGGGGGCGGGAGGGAGGAGGAAGTGCAGATGGAGGAAGGAGGGACCATAGGAGCCAGGAGCGTAATCCTCACTCCCGCGGCCCCTAGGGGAGGCAAGGGAAACCATGTGGTTCCTGCAGTAATTATGGACCCTTCTCCCTGTTACAGCAGCATCTGGAATCTGAATCTCCTCTTCCCAGGGTGCCGAGGGGCGGCAAAGCTGCTCAGCTCCCAATATGCCCCCAACCCTTATCCAGACCCTCACCATGGACTTCCCCTTTCTTTCTACAGAAGCTCATGTGCAATGGGCTTTCCCCTTCCTCCTCTCGGAGAATGGCAAGTTTCCGCACTTGTGAGAAGCCTAAGAGGGTAACAAGGCTGGTTTTTTGGAGAGGAGAGACCCTTCATCTTACCATACAACATGCAACATGAGCCCGGCCAGCTGGCAGGGGCTTCCACTTTCATTTTTCATTGCTGGCCTCGCACACGCCTCTGAAGCGTTTTTTCAGCACCACCAGAGCGCGGACAGCTCTCCCGGCCGCGCCGGAGCGGGCCCGCCCCCAGCGCCGTGGGCATTGGCTGAGCCGCCTTCGCCATCAATCAGGCTGCCCCCGGGGCTGGCTCCCGCGAAAGCGAAGGGGAGGCGGAGTCACGGGCAGATGGTCCAGGGTTCTGCAGGCCCAAGGACAGGCCACGGCGTCCGGTCCGCAGTCCGCGTGCTCGCCCCACCCCTTGGCTCTTCCCGCCCTGGCCCCGCCCCTCCTGTACGCATTGCGGGGTGGCTGGAGGTTGGCAACTTGCCTCCTGGCGCCGCACGTGGCGCCCCTGCGGGGTCCGGGGAGGGGGAAATAGGGCGACGACCCCCTCCCCCCTCCCCGCTGGCTGAGTTGCCGCTGCCACTGGGCAGGGCTGGGGTAACTAAGCTGAGCAGACCGCTGTAGGGAGGAATGACGTCAGGATGTGTGAGCGCCAAGGAAGGAGCGAGTAGGGGAGAAAGAGCGAGAGAGCGAGAGCGAGAGGGAGAGAACCGCCGGCCGGGTGGAAGGAGATTAGAGGGCTAGAGGAGAGAGGGGGGGAGAGGAGAGAAGCCACTGCGGAGGACGGAGGACGACTGGTTGCAGGTTCCGGTCCTCAGGGCTGCGGGTCCAGCTGGGGTAGGAACTGCTGTCCAGGGAAGCCAGAAGGAAAGGGGCGGAGGGTGGGGGTGGAGGGAGGAGAGAAGGAAGGAGAGGGGGAGACGGAAGGTGGGGAAAGGAGAGGTGGAGGCTGAGAGAGGAAAGTGCCAGAAGGAGAAAGGAGAGGTAAGAGAGTGGGGAGAGAGGCAGAAGAAAAGGAAGGGAAAAGGGTTAAAGGTACATAAGGGGGAATAAAAGGTGGAGAAAAGACTTCAGAAGGAGGGAGAACAGAGTGGAAATGTGGAAGGGAAACAGCCCCGGAGGGAACCAGGGAGTAGCCATGGAGGAAGAACTGGGGGGGCAGGGGAACTGGGGTCTGGAAGATGCCCCAGGCCTCTTGGCCATGGCCTCCCTGCCCATCATGTCCACGTGGCCTTTGCCCCTGGTCTCCTCAGCCTTCACCCTGCTGCTCGGAGCCCTCACTTCCCTTTTCCTCTGGTACTGCTACTACTTAGGCTCCCAGGACCTGCAGGCCCTGGCAGCTGGGAGTCAGGCTGGGGGTGTCAGGGGTGGGCCTGGGGGCTGCTCTGAGGTTGGCAGGCCGAGCCCAGGGTGCTCTGGGGAGCCTGGGGAAGGACCCAGGGCAGAAGGTCTAGTGAGCCGCCGCCTTCGGGCCTACGCCAGGCGCTACTCCTGGGCAGGGATGGGTAGGGTAAGGCGGGCAGCTCAGGGTGGCCCAGGCCCTGGGGGAGGGCCAGGGGTCCTAGGCATTCAGCGCCCAGGCCTGCTTTTCTTGCCAAACTTGCCCTCTGTGCCCTTTGTGCCCCGGGATGCCCAGCGACATGATGTGGAGCTCCTGGAAAGCAGCTTCCCTGCTATTTTGCGGGACTTTGGGGCTGTGAGCTGGGATTTCTCAGGAACTACCCCTCTGCCTCGGGGCTGGTCCCCACCACTGGCTCCCGGGTGCTACCAGCTCCTGCTGTACCAAGCAGGCCGGTGCCAGCCCAACAACTGCCGCCGGTGCCCTGGGGCCTATCGGGCTCTGAGAGGGCTGCGGAGCTTCATGAGTGCCAACTCCTTCGGCAATGCTGGCTTTTCTGTCCTTCTTCCGGGGGCCCGGCTGGAAGGCCGCTGTGGGCCCACCAATGCCCGGGTCAGATGCCATCTGGGTAAGTAGATGATGCCTGCAGACAACCTCCTTGCTTCTCCTCTGCCACCAGAGCTTTCTACACTGTGGTTCTGCTCATGCCTCTTCTCAGAAATCTTCCACTATAACTGCTGCCCTCGGCAGACTATCTTCATAAGCTTTGCCATAGTCATTTACCACCTGAACTATGTTTCTTCATATGGACTTCCCCATATTTTGTTTTACTTAAAAGGAATGTTTATAAACAATGATAATCATTATTATTTGTTCTAAATAGAAAGTAACCATAAAAGCAAATTTAAACTTCAAAAAAGGCTTCCCAAATTTTGGATAAATACTTCTCTCTCTAGGATGCAATCCTATACTCTCTTCATTTAGAAGGGAGCAATGTTAGTAGGGTGTTAATGTCATGGTAGCACCAAACGTGAGATGCTCTTTTTGGTGTTTTAAAGACTGAGAAAATGGAAAGGAAAAGTTTCTGGTTATTTAATTCCATGATCTTATTGTGCTACCAGATGGGTGTATCCTCCACTTGGAACCACACTCACTTCAGAATCAAGTCTAGATCCTTTCTCTCCTCACCTCCCATCTGTTCCCTTCCTTGCCTTTTCTCCCATCATGCTTTCAAAAATAAAGGCCTTCTGGCTAACCCTGGCAGATACCATATTCACGCTGTACCCTTAACCTAAAATGTCTTTACCTCTATAATTTTATCACCTCCTGGAAAACTCGCACTTAGTCTTTAGGACTCATATTTTCAATGTTACCACACCTCCTCTGGGATGTCTTCTTATTCATCATTTGAAGTGGCTGCTCAGTTTTCTCACAGTACTCTACTGTGTGGTCCTGGGCAAGGATGAAGCCATTAGTTTTATCTCACAGGAGGGAAGGCCCAGCACACAACAGGTTCTTGAGTTAAATTGTCAGGAAGCCCGGGAGGAGATGCCATTTCTTCCAGGAAGCCTTTCCTTCTCTCTAAAACGGAACCGATTGTGCTTTGCACTGCATTTCCCTTATCTCCCAGTACTTCTTTCAGCCAGTGTTTATATTAATAAAAAGATAATATGCTAATTAGATCAGGTATCTTCCAGATGTCCTTCCTGATGAAGCTGGGGTCCAAGGGAAGCCAGCAGGGCCCTGGGTATCTGTGGGGGGCCCGAGGGAAGCCAGCCCAGTTCCCGGGTGCTACAGGGAAGCTGGTGCCGCAGATAGGGGAAAAAGGCCTATTCTTGCATGAATTTTCGTGCATTGGGCCTCTAGGTGTTTTATTATTATATTCCAGTCACCTTCCAGAGAGCAAGAGGAACCGCCACAGAATCTGGTGCTTCAGACCCTTAGTCTGCTTTTGGCCTGAATGGGATGGCTCCTCCCGTAGAGGCTGGAATGCTGGATGCTGGGTCTTTCCCACAGGTCTGAAGATCCCCCTGGGCTGTGAGCTGGTGGTTGGAGGCGAGCCCCAGTGCTGGGCTGAGGGGCACTGTCTACTGGTGGATGACTCCTTCCTGCACACAGTGGCTCATAACGGTAATGGGGTCCCATTCTGCTAGAAGGGATGAGGGACTAAGTGAAGGGGAACGGATGAGAGGCTGCAGACTCAGCCCACTGGCTTGCTATTCCAGTACCACCATTTTCTAGCTGCATAACTTTGAACAAGTCATAATTTCCAGTCACCTGTGAAATGGGGAAACTGCTCTGTTCAGGTGACTGAAGGATTAAATAAACTAATGTGGGTGCAATGTACATTAATAGCACAAGACTCTGGGCCTGTATCTGGGTTCCTGTGCTCCTCTGGCACCTACATGGTTAGATGCCACCAAGTAGGTGGTGACATCTTTACAGGCATGTTGTCAGGCCCGAGGGCCTCCTCCACCCTTGTCAAGGGGAGTGCTAACCTTCTCTCCTTTCATACAGCACATACCTCTGGCTCATACTAGCTGCATGAACTCTGGCAACTCATTTAACCTCCTTGTGCCTGTTGCTTTGTGTAAAATAGGGATGGCCATGGGGCTAGCTCAGGGTCTGCTTGTGATTAACAGTTGATGCGCATAATGAGCAGTGCCCGGCATTGGCATTTACTTACAAAGTGTTTGCGTTTCTGATGACTTGGTGAGCGCTCTGGCCTTTAAGTACTTAATGTCAGCTACTCTCCTGCCTCTATTCCCATGTGCCCTAGGCTCCCCTGAAGATGGCCCTCGAGTGGTCTTCATCGTGGACCTTTGGCATCCCAACGTGGCTGGAGCTGAGCGCCAGGCCCTCGACTTTGTCTTTGCACCAGACCCTTGAAGGAAGGCGCTGCCCTCGGACACCTGGGCTGGAGAGATGTGCACTCAGGGGTGGCTGCGTAGCCAGGATCTCCTCTCCGATGCAGGAGGTGGGGTGGGGCTGAGGGTGGGAACTTGCTAGTGAAACATCGAAATACAGATCTTAAATTCTCTTTTCACTCCTGACTACTTTCTTCCCAGCTACCAGCCCCACAGCAGAGGTGCATGTCTTCCCGTCTGGCTAGCAGGGAACCCCCTTCACATAAGCCATCTCCTTGGCCATCACCCTGGGAGTTAGCATCAAATCCTCAATTCAACTTTATTTCAATAATTTAATAGAAAATTAAAATAATAAATAATATGAAACAGACTGGGAAGACAGCTGAGCTGGTGCAGGCGCAGGCCAGCCTAATACAAAGTTAAAGAGGTAGGGAGAACATAAAGGGAAAGAGGGAGCAAACTATCCTGCACAATGGTTGGGAGGCAGCTCAGAATGTGGAGGGTGTTATTAAGGGCTGGCTTGACACTTTGGCATGTACAATGTACTAAAAAAAGAGAAAGAGAACTCTAAATCATTTTAAACCAGCTGGTAAGGGGAAAAAGCAGGGCAAGAGTGGTGATAAGGGAATGAATGTAGGCCTTCTGAAGGGCTCTGACTGAGGGAAGGGGCTGGAATGTACCGTGTTATTAGCAAGGAAGTGAGGATGAATGGAAAAGGGCCAAAGTGGAAGTACCATGCAATAAAAGGGCAGAAGGGAGACCCACGACTTGGCCAGCAAAGCCGGGGCAAAGGTATGGGAAGGGGAGGAAAAGAAAGGGACTGGGTCCCAGTGGTAGAAGAAAAACAAGGAGAAAGGTCAAGATCAGTCCTTGAAGACGATCTGTTGGCCATGAGGACGCTCGTCATGGGTGATGTGGCGCCGGACATGGATCCTGCGGACACGATGCTCTCGGTTCTCCTCATCCTCCCCTCGGGTCACCCCTCCACCTCCGGCTACACCCCCTGTGGCCTCCAGGAGGGCTGGGTCTGGACCCCGGGGAGTCTCGTAGATCAGGATGTTCAGGGTCTCCTCAAAGATCCGGGCCTCTGGGAATTCCACCTGTAAAAGGCGAGCAACCCCCAGCTCCCATCCTCTGGTCCAGCCACACAGCGACTCCTTTCCCCCAGCTGCCTCTGCACTGGCACACCTCCTAGTCTTTGGTTCTTTGGCTGGACTGTTCTCTTTGCAACTCCTTAACTCAGCGAAGTCACACTTATACTTCAAGGTCCAGCTCTGAAGTCGGGCAGTTATTTATTTCCTCTGCCTTGCTCCTAGGTCTCTTGGTGTATTCTTTCATTAGACAAACCTTATTGAATAAGTGCACTCTACCAGGTGTCGTTCTAGACATTGGGAACATAGCAACGAACAAAACAAAGTTCCTATCCACAGGAAGTTTACAGTCCAGGGGGAGGACCCAGACATACATTTAACAAAATACAAACTGTCAGATGATCACAAATGTTATGGGGGAGGGAGGGACCCATAGCAGGAAATGGGGAGGGGATAGTCATGGCCAGGAATGTTCTCAGAGGTTATTCAGAGAAGGCCTCACTGAGAAGATGATGCTGACCAATGGCCAAAGGAGAAGAGGGAGGGAGCCAGGTGGGTAACTAGAGGGAGAGCAGTCTGGGAAGAGGCAACAGCAGTGTAAAAGCTCTGGCACAGGAGTGGGTTTAGTGTATGATTTGAACATCAGCAGCAAGGCCAACGCACGAGTACAATGCAGAGTGATGAAGCAGAGAGGGATGAAACAAAGAGGTGACTGGAGGTTCCCCTGGTGTGTCTTGGAGGAATATGACTAACATAACTCTTAACGAGCTACCCTCTAATTATTGATTTATCTTCTTGTCTTCCCAATAACAGAGGAAGCTTCTTAGAGCTGGGTCATTCATTCACACATTCAATAAATGTTTCCCAGCTTCCACTGTGTGAGAGACTCTTCTATGAGCCTCCACTAGTGCTAGAGAAATGGGGGGGGGGGGGGGGGGTACAGCCCTGCTCTCAAGGAGCTAACACCTTACTACTGAAGTACCTCCCCCGCACCACCCTCAGCACCCCAGCTTTATTTAGCTAAGGAAGAAGAATGACCGACTTTGTCTGGGATTGTTAGGGTGAACGTTCATGATTGAAGGTGTCTCAAATAAAGTGATGCTTGATTTGGGTCTTAAAGATTAAGTAAAATTCATCATGCAGACAGGGATGAGGAAAAATAATCCCAAGAAAAAGGAATAATGTAACCTTGGCTGGTGTTTCTAAGTGGTTAGAGCATCAGCTGAGCACTGAAAGGGTAGTGGGTTAAATTCCTGATCAAAGGCATGTACTTGGGTTGCAGGTTTGATCCCAGCCCCGGTTGGGGCACGTGCAGGATGAAACCAATCAATGTTTATCCCGCCCCTCCCCCCACCCCTTCCACTCTGTCTAAAAATCAATGGGGAAAAAATATCCTAGGGTGAAGATTAACTACAAAAAGGAATAATGTGTGCAAAGTTGGGGAGTGTGAAATAGCATTTGGTACGTAGAGACTTTCAAGATTCTGGTGCATCTGAGGCACATTCCTCATGAAGGTCAGAAGAGCCCAGGCTGAGAAGACTGTCAGATGGCATGACATCATGATTTACAGTTAAGACACCAGAACTTGGATCCTGACTCCCAGTGATAGATTCCCCTGCCAGATCTGCTCAGCTGCCTTTGTCCAGGGTCCTGGTCCTGCCAACCGCCACAGCCCTCCCTGACCAGGCCCTGAAACCCTTCTGACCTTGGTCTGCTTCTTCTCCGTGGCATAGACAATGGAGGTGCAGCACACCTCGGCGATTTTGCGGCCCTGCCCGTAGAAGGACCAGCAGCAGATCTCGTCCCCCAGGACATCCTTGAGGAAGAGCAGCCGCCCATGGAAGCGCAGGGCCAGCTTGTCAAACAGCTCGATGTTCTTAAGTAGGTTGTCATCTGAAGTGCTGAAGACCAGGGGCCAGGCGGCCTCAGCACAAGTGGCTTCCCACCCTCTGTTCCCCCAGCAAGGGTCCTGCCCAGGGGTTTGGTGCCCAGCAGGGACCTTCCTCCACCCCTGGGGCCAGGCCAAGCAGGCCTTTGCAAGGAAGCAGCATTGGCTGAGCAAATCCCAGCACAGCAGAGTGGCTACCTGTGCAGTCTCTGGAGTCGGGCTGCGTCACCTGGCATCCTAGCTCCACCACTTTTTAACTGGGTGAAACCAGGCAAATTACTTCACCTCTCAGTGCCTCAATTTCCTTAGCTGCAAAATGGAGATCACAATGCCTCCTTCAAACAACTGTGAGGATTATGTATTAAAATATGTAAAGCATTAGAATAATGCTTGTTGTAACATAAGCACTTAGTAAATGCTAGTCATTATCATCAAATCCTCACCAAAACCCGTTTACTGATAAAACTAAAGCTCAGAAGTGAAAATGACCTGTCCGAGGTCCCCAGTGGGTAAGTGGCAGAGCTGGAATTCCCGTTCAGGCAGGCACTCCTTTCGTCCTTCTGTGTGGCCACAGCCCTCCCCCTGGGCCAGGAGCGGAGCGGTCTCGAGCCCAGGGTTCCACCCAGTGCACCCCCCACCCCATGGCAGTCACCTGGTGTAGGAGTACTTGTTGTTACTGCGGTTGTGCAGGAGCTTCACCACGGGCTGTTGAGGGAGAGAGGATGAAGGGTGGGGCTCAGGCTGCAGAGAGAGGCCCAACCTCCACCCTAAGGACTCAGGGCCTCACCTTGGAGGTGCTGGCCAGGAGCTGCTGCTCCTCCTGGGGAGATGTCACCATGGGGACGAGGCACAGCTGGGACAGGGTCTCCCTTTTTTGCTGGAGAAGAAGCGGAAGGTGGTTAACAGCACAACCAAAGGTCACTCACTTACCCACTTAAAAGTCATCAAAAGCTACTTGCCACCTTTTGGGGGGAAATCCAGACTCCGTTGTCCATAAGACTCTGCAGCATCTGGCATCTCTGATAGTGTCCCTACCTCTCTCCCCTGCTTGCTGGGCTTCAATCCCACCAACGGCTTGCTGGGTGGCACATCCGGTTTGTGCCCACCTAACCCTCTGCACTAAGTTTCTGTGGCTGGCTCCTCCACATCATTCAGATCTCAACTCAAATAGTGCCCCTCAGGGTGCTGGTCCCCCTCCCTAAGCTCCCTGGCTACAGCAGCTCCTCTACTTCCTCTTCACAGTATTAGTTCACTTTCTTCACTGCACTCAGTTCCTCACATTTTCTCATTTTAGTCTTTTTTTGCTAATGATCTGTCTCTTCCCATGTAGGTGGTAAGCGACAGTGTACAATAGACGCTCAGTAAGTATCTGTTAAGTTAATGAATCTGGCTGGGTGAGAGGCTGGAGGCAGATCAGAACCAGACACACAGGCTTCTCTCCTTTTTTCTGTCTTCTAGAATCATCTCACCTCTCCTGACCAAACTAGATGTGCAATTCTAACACAAATTAAAAAAATTTGAGACACTCATAAAACTTTTTCTAAAATTAATATGGAATAAAAGTCTACTATTATTTAATTTTTTAAAAAAGAGCCAGATATTTAAATATCCTTCAAAGCCATAATAATGAAAAGTGTTGTTTTGGTGCAGAAACAAACAAAAACAATGGAACACAATAGAGAGTGGAAACAGACTAATGTATATGAGAACTGATATTTACAAAACGATACCACAAATCAATGGGAAAGTATGGTGTGTGTATTGATTATTGCTGTGTAACAGACTGTTCCACAATTTAACAGTTTAAATCAACAATCAACATTTCTCAGTCTCTGTGGTTCAGGAATTCAGGACTCTCCTGAGTTTGCAGTCAGTCAGCTGGGGCTGCAGTAATCTGAAGGCATGACCGAGTCTGGAGGATTTGTTTCTGAGAAAGCTTGTTCATGTGGCTGTCAAGTTCATGCTGGTTATTGGCGGGACATATCTGATCCCTGTCCCTTGGACTTCTCCACGGAGTTGCTTGAGTGCCCTTATAACATTCTCCAAAGCAAGCAATTCCAGGGGAAGCAAGGTGGGGAGACCTGAATGTCTTTTATGACAGTTTTGTCAGACCTATTCAGTGTGGGAGGAAACTACACAAGAGAATGAATTCTGAAAATAAGATCATTGGGGACTGCCTTAGAGGCCGGCTTCCATGGATCAAATCCCTCCCATATGCAAAACATGTTTATGGCTTCCAATGATTCCCCCAAAGTCTCATCTCTTTACAGCACCGGCATGAAGTACAGAATCTGTCATCTAAATCAGGTCCAGGTGGGGGGGAGGCGCCTTGGATGTAGTTCCTTAACTATAGTTCCTTAAGTTCATTTGCTCTTGGTCTGAAGACCTGTGACCGCGAGACAAGTCGTCTCTTTCCCAAACACCCAATACACAATGGTGGGACAGACATAAGGATACAAACTAGGGCACTATGTTCAAAAAGGCAGGGCAGGGGACAGGAGGCACCTAGAAGTCACTGCTTCACGAAAATTCTTAATCCAGCGGGACAAACGTTGGGAGTTCTCTGATGCCTGCTCTTACCCCAAATGGTTCTCTGTGGGTTTGGTTCTGCCCTGAGTTGTCCTTCCTTTTCCATGCCAGCCCCTGCTCGCAGCTCCAGTTTCCTCAGTCACTTCCTGCCGGCAGAATTTGGGGTTCTAAAGGCCTCTTCTCCTCCTGCACTGTCTCTGTGCCTCCCAGGGCTTTGGCCAAAAGAATTCTCTTAAAATTTACTGGGTATCTTGTGTCTTGGGGTTCATTTCACTAGGCAAAAGCCACGTATACAAATCTCTGTAAAATAAGTTCTTCTCTACTTTGGGCTTGTGCAAGACTCCTGAGGAGCATCGTTAAGCTATTATTTGATTGAATGCACTATTATTTTATTGATGCACTATTATTTTTTTATTTTATTTTATTTTATTTTATTTTATTTTATTTATTTTTTATAAGTTTTTATTGTTCATATTATTACAAATGTTCCTTCCCCCCCCACCACCATTGCTCTCCTCCACCAGGTTCCCACCCCACCCTCTGCCCTTTCCCCTCTCCCCATTGTCCTCATCCATATGTGCACAGTTTATGTTCAGTCTCTTCCCACGCCCCCCTCTCCCCTCTTCCCCAAGAATTGTCAGTTCACTCCCCTTCCATACCTCTGATTCTATTATATTCAACAGTTAATATTGTTCATCAGATTTTTTTAATTTCCTTGGTTTTTAGATTCACTTGTTGATAGTTACGTATTTGTTGTTCATAATTTTTATCTTTGTTTACTTTATCTTCTGAAAGAACCCCCTTCAGCAATTCATATAAATCTGGTTTGGCGGTGATGAACTCCTTTAGCTTTTTTTTTATTAGTGAAGCTCTTTATCTGGCCTTCGATTCTGAGTGATAGCTTTGCTGGATAGATTATCTTTGGCTGTAGGTTCTTGCTATTCATCACCTTGAATATTTCTTGCCATTCCCTTCTGGCCTGCATGGTTTCTGTTGAGAAGTCAGCTGACAATCGTATAGGTGCTCCTTTATAGATTACTACCTTCTTTGCTCTTGCTTCTTTTAATATTCTCTCTTTGTCTTTTGCTCTTGGAATTTTAATAATGATGTGTCTCGGTGTGGTCCTCTTTGGATTCCTTTTGTTTGGAGTTCTATGCGCTTCCTGGACTTGTAAGTCTAATTCTTTCCCCAGGTGGGGGAAGTTTTCTGTCACTATTTCTTTCAGTATGTTTTCGATATCTTGCCCTCTCTCATCTTCTGGGACCCCAATAATTCTGATGTTGGTTCGCTTGAAGTTGTCCCAGAGGTTTCTTACATTATCTTCAATTTTCTGGATTCTCTTGCCTTCTAGCTTCTGTGGAGGAGTGTCTTCTGGCTCTTTATGTTCCAAATCTTTGACTTGATTCTTGTGATCTTCCCTTCTGTTTTTAGGACTCTGTAAAATATTTTTTATTTCAGACAATGTATTCTTTATGTCTTGTTGATCCCTTATTAATTCTAGTTGATCTCTTTTCATATCCTCATAGGCCTTATCCATCTTTTCTAGGAAATTCTTGAAAAACCTTATAAGCGTAGATTTGAACTCTATATCCAGACGCTTTTTGTCCTCCATTTCTTTCGTTTGTGATCTATTTTGTTGTCGCATTTCGCAGTTACAGATGGGACGGGGTTTCAGGGTGGAGCCTGCAGCTTTGGCTTCCGTCAGCCCCGCCCTATGCGGGTCCTTCAGAGCTCACTGCCGGCGCCTCTGAGAGAAAGGTGCCCTCGATTTTCGCCTGCTGCCAAACAGTCTATGCTCTCCCACAATGAGCCCGGTATTGGGGTTCAGTTCAGTTGGAAGTGGAGTTGGAGGTGGCGTTCAGAGCAGTCTGGAGCCCCAGTCTCCTTCCCGTCAGGGCAAGCCCGCGGCACAGCCGAATGTCCCTTCTCTGCGCGCAGTGTGCGCACCGCTGGGACCTCCTTTCGCCACTTCCCCGGGGTTCCACCTTACAGCCCGGCTCCCTATGGCTGAGCCTGAGTCCCCGGGGTCTGGCTTAAAACTGGGGATCAGAGCAGTCGGGGGCCCAGCACAGTCGGAGCTTTATCTCCTTTCCGCTAGGGAACGCCCGCCAGGCACTCGGCCTTCCTCCTCTCCGGCTCTGTCCTCTCTGCGCACCGCGTCTCCGCGTCTCCGTACCTTGGCTTTTCCAGCTCCTCCGCACCTCCTTCTGGTTTTCTCCTTGCTTCTCACTGTAGAATTTCCAGTCAGTCAACCTTCCTGTAGTTCTGGGCAATGTCCGTTTTATATTTTAGTTGTATTTTATTGATGCACTATTATTTGATTGAATGATTCTCTGAGATATCTTCTTGGATATTTTTGAGATTTTAAAAGATTTTACAATTACATCCACATCTTCCTCTTTAGACCAAGTTTTACTGAAAATACTCTGTATTTGCTCTTGGCCTACAAGCTATTGTTGTTTTGTTTTGGTGTGTGTGTGTGTGTGTGTGTGTGTGTATAAAATCTTGATTTCAGAGAGGGAGGGAGAGAGAAACATCAATGATGAGAGAGAATTATTGATCAGCTGCCTTCTGCATGCCCCCTCCCAGGGATTAAGCCCGAAACCCAGGCATGTGCCCTTGACTGGAATCGAACCTGGGACCCTTGAGTCCAGAGGCTGACACTTGATCCACTGAGCCAAACTCAGTAACTCCTGGGTCCTGTTGTTCAACTGTTTTACTTTTAGCTTACCCTCTCCTCTTTTATTTTACTGTAAGCAACCAGAAACAGTCTGGAAATCTCTTTAGCTAGGTCTCCCCGTTCAGCAGGTAAGTGTCTACCTTCCACATTCCTGGGAGACAGTGTTGCTAAACTCCTGCCACCACAGAGCAGAGGTGGCCTTTGCGCCAGTTTCCAATAACATTTTCCTCACTGCAGCCTCCTAACAGGTCATCAGACTCCTATAAACGCACTCTTTAAACTATTTAAGCTTTTAACACTCTTCAAAGTCCTTCCAGCTTCTGCCCACTTCCCAGGTCTAAAGCCATGCCCACATTTAAAGTTTTTGTTATGGCAAAATGCCACTCCAGATATCAAAATCTGTTATCTATTGCTGGGCAACAAATTACTACAAACTTACCGGCTTAAAACAAACATTTATTATCTCAGTTTCTGGAGGTTGGGAACCGAGACTAGCTTAGCTAGGTGGTCCCAGACCATGGTCTTTTATGAAGTTGGAGTCCAGATGTTGGCCAGGGCTGTAGTTACTGAAGACTGAATGGCATCAAGGATCCGCTTCTGAGACGGTTCACCCATATGAGTGGGAGTTTGTGCTGGCTGTGGGCAGGAGGCTTCAGACCCTCACCAAGCTAGGGCTGCGTGAGAATCCTCACATGGCAGCTGGCTTCCCTCATAATGAGTGATCCCAGAGAAGGGCAGAAACAGCAATATCTGTTATGACCTAGCTTTAAAAGTCACACGATATCATTTCTGCAATATCCTATTGGTTACATAGGTTTGCCCTATTCAGTGTGGGAGGGCAGACATTAAACATTAAACATGAGCCAGAATAAACAGGAGGCAAGAATTTTGGACAATTTTGGTGGCCATTTTTTTTGTTTTAAATTTTTTTTATTGATTTCAGAAAGCAAGAGAGAGGGAGAGATAGAAACATCAATGATGAGAGAGAATCATTGATCGGCTGCCTCCTGCATGCCCCTTACTGGGGATCGAGCCCACAATCCAGTTATGTGCCCTGACAGGAACTGAACCATGACCTTCTGGTTGTTAAGTCCACACTTTACCACTGAACCATGCCAACTGAGCCTGGTGTCCATTTTGGACACTGACTAGCACAAACTGTTTAATAAATGGTATTAGGAAAACTAGTTTACTATAAGGAGGACAAAAAAGAGTTAAATCCCTTCATAATTCATGTTTACAACAGTGAATTTCATTTAGATTAAAAGATCCACATATAAAAGATAAAAATATAAAGCTGTTTTTAAAATGCAGAATGGAAAAAAACTTATTAAACAAGATCCTAAAGGATACACCTTTAGGCAAAAAAAAAAAAAGGAATTTGACTACATTAAATTCAGAATTTCTCTGGTTGACAATGGAAACCTTACAAATAACCACACTTAATAATGTTGATGGTATGATAGAATTATAATTATTCTACAACCCCAATGAAATTACTGACTCAGGTAAGGGTTACCAATTGGTGTGTGGTTGATAGGTAATTGCCATTCATATATTGCCAAATAACATCATACAAATTACTTTATAGTTGGCAACAAGGGAATGTAACTTCAATGAAGGATCACACCAACATCATCTGAGTCAAGGGGCTAATTCTGAGCATCACTAATGAGGAGCCACATTAGCAAAATTATGGATCCCTCAATACAAACAATATGAAAAATATAAAATTACCTAAAATGTATTCTAACCAAAATGTTTATTATCAAGCCTTTATATCCATCATGTAGTTTATAGAAAACTCAGAATGGGGTGGGTTACAAACCAAATGATACCACAAGTAAACAACCAGGCAAATTTGGAAATTGAGTCATTGTGCAGGACAACTGGTGGTCTTTTACAAGTCAGCATCGTGAGAAAAAAGGGACTGGGTTGGAAGAACCTTGAAGAACATAATAAGCAGAGATGGTGCAAGGATCTAAACTGGGTCCTTGTTTAATGAACCAGCTATAAAAGACATTTCTAGAATGTGTGTATGCCCCTAGATATTGTATAAAATTTTATTGACATGGAAAGATGGCAATTATTAACAAACAAAGCAGATTACAAACAGCACATACAGTGTGATTGTATTTTGGCAAACACACACACACACACCCCTGGAAGGACATTTGATACTTTGTATTTTTAATTATCTGTGTTTTCTAAACATATACCTACTGCTTTAAGAATAATAAATGGTTATTTACAATTTTAAAAAAAGTCCAAGTATTTCCACTCAACAATAGCTGCTATAGGCAAGTGACATTCTAGGAGAAAATGCTGGCAACATCTGAAACTGACTAGAAATTATTATCAAAACCAAACTTCTTCAGCTGGGGTTCCTCTCCTGAAGCTGAAAACCTAGCAAATAATCTGAGTAACTATTTTCTGAACTTTCCCAAGGAGGGTAGGTAAGTACCGTTCTAGATGCAGAGGAGAACAGTAAATGTATTATTCATAACACATGCCTTAGGGAAATAGGCCTTAATTCTCCATAGGAACTAAGCTAAATTATGCAAGGATTTCTGTGAAGCAACAAGAAAAATATATTTTTAAATGTTTTAAAATATATTTATTGATTTTTAGAGAGACAGAGTGGGGTAGAGAGAAACATCCTCAATCAGTTGCCTCCTGCATGCTCACTACTGGGGATTGAACCACAATGGGGGCATGTGCCCTGACCAGGAATCAAACTGTGACATCTTGATTCATGTGTTGATGCTAAACCACTGAGCCACATGGCCGGCCAAGAAAAAGATTTTTTTTTAATTCAGTAGAAACTTTGGTAAAGAATATGAATAGTCAGCTCAGTTGGTTGAGCGTCGTCCCATACACCAAAAAGTTGAGGGTTTGATTCCCAGTCAGGCGCATACCTAGATTGCAGGTCCCATCCCACCTGGACAGGCTGGGGCTTGCATGAGAGGAAACTGATGGATGTTTCTTTCTCTCTCTCTTCTCTCTAAAAATCAATAAACACATGGAAAAATAACAAGAGTATGAACACAAGGGGAAACCAAAAAACTATAAAAAGACTCATTAGTAATGAGAGGAATGCAAACTAAAACGAGATCACTCTATACGAATCAGATTGGCAAAATTAGAACACTGGATCATGCTATGTGCTGTCAAGAATATGCAGAAACTAGATCCCTTATGCACTGCTGAACAAGAGTGTAAAGTGAATAATCTGATGACACCGATGAAATTTTTTGGTATGTGTCCTGTGACCCAGCAATTCCACTCCCAGCTACAATCATAAGAAACCCTGGCCCAGGTCCCACAAGGGCATATGTATGAAGATGGTCACGGCGGCACCATTTGGTGGGGGCAGAAAGTGGGGAGTCCGTGTAGGTCTCTAACCTCAGGGGAATGCATACATAAAATATGGTGAATGCATATCGTAGATTCCTGTGCAATAGTTAAAAACAAAGAACTAAATGTGCATGGTGCAGCATGAATAAATCTTGAATAAGTACTGAATTAAGAAACAAAACACACGATCCATAACTCAAATGCCATTTATAGAAACTTAAATACATACAAAATAATGCTTTAGCTTTTCAAGGAAACAAACATAATCCAAGCATATGGTGGAGTACCTATGGAGAAAAGGGAAGAGGACAGGGATTTGGAAATAAAAATAAAATAAAAGATTTGCATAGACCAATGATGATTAAGTGCCACACACTGAGGAGTACGATGGACTCAACATTCTGTCCAAAAGTCTTCAAAACAAAAATAAAAATCTCTTATGCACCAAACAAGCAAACACTAGCCACGTGGGGTGGGGTGGAATGGTCTCAGGGAAACCTGGGAGGGAGGTAGTTGGAGCACAGAAGAAAAAGCACTGTGTTTGGAAGTCAGATAACCTGGGGCTGAATGTGAGCCTACCTGCTTACTGGCTCTTTGACCTTGGATGCATCCCTAACTTCCTCTTAAAAAAAAAAAAAAAAAAAAAAAAGACAAACAAGGGTACAAGATGAACATACAAGCAGATAGCAGAATCACTCCAGACACACAGGAGTGAGTATGTGGGTGTGGATAACATTAGATAAACATTAGCTTCAGGAGTGGGTGTGAGATAACATTAGACAAATGTAAAACTATAGCTCAGGAATGTACTTCCAAGATCATCCCATGCAAACTGCAAGTGGCTACCCATTAATGGGTCATGAAACAAGCTTAATGGGTCTCAAAGAGCATTAAAGGAAAGGAAGAAAATAATTTTTCAGAAAGTTTCACTGAAAGTATCATTTTATAAAACTCTTATTTCAGTTATGAATATGAAATGCATTTTTTCTATGGGATGCAGACACAAAGTTTGAAAAATATGGATACAACCCAAAGAACTTCTATACTTTTGGATTCCAAGAATAAGTATTCCCCAAGGTAACAGACACTTGTTTATATCTGCCACTTTTTAATATACAAAGAACATCAAAAAAGAAACCCTCATAGTCTCCATTAATATTGTATCATAAAAGAAAGGATATTTTAACATTGTAAAAATGGAACAGAATAAAGGGCTTTATGTAAAACTCAGTACATTGTACATATTTTTCTCACTTCCCTATCTTTTGGAACATGAGGACAGAATGCCAAGTAGAAATTGACTCACTCAAGGCCAGCCAGTCAACTATAGTAGAGGTGACACTTAACCCCTATGTCCTGGCTGTGCTTCCCAATAGCTTCTCCTCAGAACCCTGAGATCCACAGAAATGAAGCACAGCAGATAGGTCTCTGGAACCCCCAAACCTTCTATCAAAAAAAATTTTTTAAAGCCCCTGGGGGTGGGTGGGGTGTTGCCTGCCAGGATAGAATCAGATTATGGAAGTCACTACATTCCAGTTTAAGTTTAGATTTTTTCCTTAGTGGCACAAGAGAGTTATTTATGACTTGATTTCTGGGCAAAGGGGAGACTAGATTGCGATTATTTTTGAGGATAATTAATCAGGTGGTAATGTAACAGCTGGTTTGGCTGGGTAGAAACAGCAAGAAGCAGAGAGAGCAATCACTTAACCATTGCAATAGTCCTGGCATGAGATGTTGAGAGGGGCTCTGCCTAAAACAGCAGGGATGCAGAAGATAGCACCCCCAAACTTTCCGGGGTCATGGCCACTTAAAGCCAGGCAGAGGCAGCCTCTCACAGCAGCAGCCCACGTTTCCTTTTATTGTTTCCAATGCCCTTATAGCCAACTACTTGATCAGCTCGCCAGGGTCATGGCACAGGGGGGACTCAGGAGGTGGGGGAAGGACCCTCACCTGCAGTGCCAGCTGGCAGTCCTCAATCAGGCCCTGGACCAGGTAGTAGCGTGCTTCACCTAGCAGCTCCCCAAGTTCTCTGGCACTTTCAGGCAGTGGCACAGACCCATCCCGAAGGTAGTTGAGGATTGTACCAAAGTGGCGGCCGCTCCGGTCAATCAGCACCCAGCCTGGTGGGATGGGGAGAAGAAAAGAAGGATGGCTTTCTGGGGGCCCTAAAGCTACTAACTTTTATGAAAAAAGGATTCCAAAGCTACAAATCTGAATTTTTCTCAAACCTCTGTGTCATCCAAGGAAATACCATTAAAACATGTCCAGTGAGTGTTTCCATGGCATATATATATATATATATATATATATATATATATATACACACACACACACACACACACACACACACACGCACGCACACACACGTTAGAGGCCCAGTGCACAAATTTGTGCACCAGTGGGGTCCCTCGGCCTGGTCTACGGGACCTGGCTGAAACCAGCTCTCCAACATCCCCTAAGGGGTCCCAGATTGCGAGAGGGTGCAGAGGATGCAGGCCAGGCTGAGGGACCCCACGGGTGCATGGGGCAGGGGAGAGATGCGGGAGGTTACCAGCCAGGGAGGGACTGCAGCAGGGCTCCAGAGCGTGTTTGGCCCATCTTGCTCAGTCCCAATTTACCAGACCCCAGCAGCAAGCTAACCTGATGATCAGGGCCTCTGCCTCCTGGTGGTCAGTGCATGTCATAGCGAGCGGTTGAGCAACCTTAGCATATCATTAGCATATTATGCTTTGATTGGTTGAACAGATGACTGGTAGATTGGACACTTAGCATAATAGGCTTTTATTATGTGGGATACACACACACACATATACACTGAGTGGTCAGATTATTATGATCTCTGAACGCATAATAATCTGGCCACTCAGTATGTATCCTATATAATAAAATGCTAATATGCAAATTGTCCCCTCGACCAGGAGTTCGACCAGCAGGCAGGCTGGCCACCTGCCCATGTCCCCTCCCCATCGCCAGGCATGTAGGAACATCAATGCACGAACATCAATGATGAGAATCATTGATTGGCTGCCTCCTGCACGCCAAGGATTGGGCTTCAAACCCTCAATCCAGGTATGGGCCCTGACCAGGAATGGCACCCACAATCTTTTGTGGCTCAGGACAACACTCCAATCAACAGAGCCACCCGCCAGGGCACATGCCTCTTTTTATTGGTATGTTTGTTTATTGTTCTCCCCGGTCCCCATAAAAAAGTAAACTCAATAAGCCTAATCCTCCTCAGATCCATTTACCCAAACAAAGCATCTCCAGTATGAACTGGCCCTTTACAAATACTGAATAAGTAACTTCTTCACCTTTAGACCGTTGAAGACTGAGCTCCACCTCCCAAATGTTTATTTTCCTGCTCTCACAATCTTTGTGAACACCTCCTGGGCCCCCCTCTCCAACACTGTAAGATTCCACCAGGGCCTGTGAGGCCCAAACCTGAATGCACCACAGCGAGAAGGTAAGGTTCAGCTGCCAGAGAACCCTCCACCACCACACCGGTGTCCCAGGCAAACCACACGCAGCCTCTCCTATAACCTGCACTTGCAGAGGGTGCCTTAGAGTGCATCAGGGGAAGCAGACACAGACAAGGTCTTCCAACTCTGCAGGCTGGCTGCTAGCAGCGCTACGACAGAGGGAACAAAAGGCTGGCAGCTGGGAAGAAGGTTGCCTGGACGGATGCTGCTGGTTCCCAGGGTTTTTGAGCCGGGGAGTTAAGGGCGGGAGAACTGGGAGAACTGGGTGGGAGTGGGAATGAAATTCTGAAGTGACACGATAAATCACTGGCCACAGCGTTGCAGAGGGGGTTGCTTCCTAGTGTGGGTTGTCGCCTACTGGGGGTCAGGACTGGGGGAGGAGGAAGATGATGAAGGAAAAAGAGAAGAGGAGCCGGGATGTGAGGATGGAAGGGCGTGAGAGTGAGCTGGCTGGAGGCGGTGAGAGAGGGAAGGGACACGGAGACCCCGGGCGGGCGAGGAGAGACTCGGCGTGCGGAGGCGCGGCCCGGCGGGCGGAGGGCGGCACAGGGAGGGGCGTGCGGTACCTCCGGCGTCGGTGAGTACCTCGGCGCGGCCGCTGAACATGGCCTTGAGCAGCGTGTCCTGGCCCGTGAGCGTGCGCAGCGTGGTGTAGTGCAGCGAGCCCCCCACGTTCAGCTTCACGTACTTGCTGTTCGGGCTCTGCGGCTGCAGCCCGGGGGCGGCGGCGGCGCCCGGCTCGAGGCCCCAGGGCTTAGGGACCTCCAGGGACAGGGCCCCGGCCGCCGGGCCCGAAGCCTCGGCCGACATGCCGGGGGTGGCGGCGGCGGCCGTGGGCTCCCTCCGCGCCCTCAGGACCCGGGTCCGACCCCTGCGGCCGCGCAGCCCGGCCAGCACGCCCGCACGCCGCCGCGCAGACACCGGCCAGCGGCCCCGGCGCCAGCGCCTCCAGCAGCGCGGCCGGCAGTGCGCAGGCGCGTCAACGTCCCGGGACCCCGCGCGGCCGGAGTGCGGAGCATGCGCAGTGGCCTTCGGCCGGTACGGGCCGGTGCGGCGCGGCGCGGCGCGGCCCCTCGTTGATACCGGAGAGCAGGTCCCGGCGGCGCCGGGCCGCCTGCCTCATGTGGAAAGCGACGTCCCGGTGCCTTGGTTGGGCTTGCGCTCTCAGAGCGATTCCCAAGCATGACGGGGAAACTGAGGCCCGAGGAGCAGGGTACTGGGCGAGGTATCCCGCCCGCAGAGGAGAGCTGCAAACAGACCCCAAGGGACGTCCTTATAGAATGCTGTTAAAAGACGAAAATCCTGCTGAGAACGTGTAAAGATCAAATTGGCTTTATTCAACCATTCATGAATCAGAGGGCATCCCATCTAGCAAATAGGAAGGAGCTCCCTAAGCAATAGGAAAGCAAAGGTTTTCAAAGGCAGGGGGGGAAAAAAAAAAAAAAAAAAAAAAAAAAGACATTAGCAAAGATTTTTTTTAAAGGTGGGCCTCCCAAGAGGTCTGGAAGGGGCTGTGTGTGTGTGTGAGTGTGTGTGTGTGTGTGTGTGTGTGTGTGTGTGTGTGTGTATGTGTTAGGGGGTGAGGGGGAGGTATTATCTCGCTAGTGCTGACCAGCTCATCCCATATTGCCTAGTTAAAGATTACATTCCTACCCTAACCCGTTTGGCTCAGTGGATAGAGCTTTGGACTGAAGGATCCCAGGTTCGATTCCAGTCAAGGGCATGTACCTTGGTTGCAGGCACATCCCCAGTGGGGGATGTGCAAGAGGCAGCTGAACGATGTTTCTCTCTCTGACTCTCTATCCCTCTCCCTTCCTCTCTGTAAAAAGTCAATAAAATGTATTAAAATAAAGATTACATTCCCGGGAGATCTTGAGGTTGCAATTAGGTTAGGTATTGAAAGTCTTGGTTTGCTGATGCGGGGCTCAGCACAAGTGACTCCCACTTTAGGCTGTTAACTGTTTTAAACAAGGCTAAGGGGACGGATCCAGGGGAGGTGGCTGTAGTGCTAGGACATCAGGGTGTGAGTAGGTAAGGTCCTCATGGAGGGCCTCTCGGAGGTGGTACTGAGCTAACGCTGACAATGACCAGGTAGAGGGGTGAGGGCAGAGTTCCATGCAGAGCGTAGGTCTTAGACTCCCAGCTAATGTGAGATACCCGACCCTGAGAAAAGGAAATGAGATAGAAACACATGGTTGACAAGAAAGGGTGGTGAGAAGTGTGAGGTAACCATCCAGCTTAATGTCTGGTAGGGGGATTTGCTGGAGGAAAAAGAAACAGAATTGTAGAAATGGCCGGGGTGGGGGTGGGGTGGGGGTGGAGGGTAGGGGCAGAGAGATTGTGTCCCTTAGAACTGCTTTGTTTCATTCCTTCTGCCCAGATTTAGGACATTTTCTCTGGTTCCTGGTCAAGGACAATTGGTCTTTGGCCAAGTTCTGCAGGTACCAGGTTGCACAGCAGCATCCTTACGGATCCTTGTTCCAACTAAAACTGGGCCAAATACCTGCTTCCTTCATGTTTTCTCACGGTTCCTCTAATTCATACCCATACCTTCCTAACTGACACAATTTCACTTGAGACAATTTAGAATTGCAGTGACCATTTTGGGGAACTTTTGACAAGAATACGGTTGTTTATTCAAAAGGTACCTCAGAACAAAAGAGAAAGAAACCCTCATGAGGAAACTGTCTTGTTTGTCAAAAAGAGAGGTTAGTTTGTTTAGCGTAGGCAGTGTTTCACTTCAGTACTTTGCATATTAATAAATGCTAACTTTTTAATTGTATGACTTTATTAAATTGTCTAGTGCCTGAGTTATTTTTAAAAGGAATGTCATTCTTTGGGTGTGCATGTACAAGAATGTGTCAAATTCTGTTTTTCTTTATTCAAACTGTCTTTTCTCTCCTTGCTCTAGGAATAACCAGTCCAGTTAAACAGTTTAAAATATCTTAAAGAGCCCTACTGAGTTGGCTCAGTGAATACAGTGTCAGCCTGCGGACTGAAGGGTCCCAGGTTCAGTTCCAGTCAAGGGCACATGCTGGGTTGCAGGCTTGATCCCCAGTGGGGGGTGTGCAGGAAGCAGCCGATCGGTGATTCCCATCATTGATGTTTCTGTCTCTCTCTCCCTCTCCATTCCTCCCTGAAATCAATAAAAATATATATTTTTAAAACGTTTATTTTTTAAAAAATGACTTAAAGAATTGTTAAACTAGACACTGAGTGGTCAGATTATTATGATCTCTGAATGCATAATAATCTGTCATATATATATATATATATATATATATATATATATATGTATATATATTGACAATATATTGAGGCCCAGTGCATGAATTTGTGCATGGGTGGAGTCTGAGAGGGGACATGGGCAGTTGGCAGGCTGGCCTGCTGGCCAAACTCCTGGTCCAGGGGACAATTTGCATATTAGTCTTTTATTATGTAGGATATACACTGAGTAGCTAGATGATTATGATCTCTGAATGCATAACAATCTGGCCACTCAGTGTATATTTTTTCTTTGTGGGCACTGAAAAGTGTGTTTATATAATGAGCTTCATTACTATTGTTACAAGACAACAAAAAGGCCTTAGTTCTAAGATAAAAGAAGAGTGTTTAGCATGACCCATGCCTTTAAATTTGCCATGGAAAATAATGACAGCAGCAAAGCTGGAACCAGTTTGGCTCAGTAGCTAGAACTTCGGCCTGCGGACTGAAAGGTCCCAGGTTCGATTCTGGTCAAAGGGCATGTACCTTGGTTGCGGTCACATCCCCAGTGGGGGGATGTGCAGGAGGCAGCTGATTGATGATTCTCTCTCATTGATGCTTCTAACTCTCTATCCCTCTCTCTTCCTCTCTGTAAAAAAATCAATAAAATGTATTAAAAAAAAGAAAATAATGACAGCACAATATTTTATATTTTGGTTTGTACAAGACCAGGGTTTTCAAATTATTTACATCTTTTTAATTTTTATATTGATTTTATAAATCAAGTTATCATATATTTCATTTTTTAAATAAATTTTTATTGTTCATATTATTACAAATGTTCCTTTTCCCCCCTTCACCCCCTCCATTGCTCTCCTCCACCAGGTTCCCATCCCACCCTCTGCCCTTTCCCCACCCCCCATTGTCCTCATCCATAGGTACACAGTTTATATTCAGTCTCTTCCCACACCCCCACACCCCTTTTCCCCAAGAATCGTCAGTTCACTCCCCTTCCATACCTCTGATTCTATTATATTCACCAGTTAATATTGTTCATCAGATTTTTTTAAATTTCCTTGGTTTTTAGACGCACTTGTTGATAGTTACGTATTTGTGGTTCAGCAATTCATATAATTCTTGTTTGATGGTGATGAACTCCTTTAGCTTATTTTTATTTGTGAAGCTCCTTATCTGCCCTTCGATTCTGAGTGATAGCTTTGCTGAGTAGAGTAATTTTGGCTGTAGGTTCTTGCTATTCATCACCTTGAATATTTCTTGCCATTCCCGTCTGGTCTGCATGATTTCTGTTGAGAAATCAGCTGACAATCGTATGGGTGCTCCTTTATAGGTAACTACCTGCTTTTCTCTTGCTGCTTTTAATATTCTCTCTTTGTCTTTTGCTTTTGGAATTTTAATTATGATGTGTCTTGGTATGGCCCTCTTTGAATTCCTTTTGTTTGGGGTTCTGTGCACTTCCTGGACTTGAAAGTCTATTTCTTTCACCAGGTGGGGGAAGTTTTCTGTCACTATTTCTTCCAATAGGCTTTAAGTATCTTGCTCTCTCTCTTCTTCTGGGACCCCCATAATTCTGATGTTGGTTCCTTTGAAATTGTCCCAGAGGTTTCTTACATTATCTTCAACTTTCTGGATGCTCTTCTCTTCTTGCTTCTGCAGAGGAGTGTCCTCTGGCTCTTTGTGTTCCAAATCTTTGACTTGATTCTTGCAATCTTCCATTCTGTTTTTAGGACTCTGTATAATATTTTTTATTTCAGACAATGTATTCTTTATTTCTAGTTGATCCCTTTTCATATTCTCATAGGTCTCATTTATTTTATTGGCCTTTTCTAGGAAATTCTTGAACAACCTTATAAGTGTGGTTTTGAACTCTATATCCAGTCTTTTGTTCTCCATTTCTTTAGTTTGAGATCTATTTCCTTGTCTCAGCATTTTTGTTGCTTCCCTGAGTTGGTAGGATGGCTTTGTGTGTTTGGTGTCCTATATGGCCCAGTGGGTCAGCCTCCCCAGTTACCTGAGGTAACCCTTGGTGCACCCCTTTGTGGACTGCGAGTACAGCCTTGTTGTAATTAAGTCTTGATTGTTGTTGGTATCCCTGGAAGGAATTGACCTTCAGGCCAATTGGATGTGGGTATCAGCTGTGTCTACTCTGGGATACCTTCTGTATTGGAGACAGTCTTATAGGATCAGACTTGCAAAATTGCAAAAGCCTCTGTGCTCGGCTTGGATGGGGCAGAGTCTCAGGGCTGAGCTGACAGTATTGGCTTCCCGTCAACCCTGCCCTTGTGCACTCACCTGTGTTTCCGCCTGACCATCCCAGATTCCCCGTGCAAGAGCGTGGGTGCCCCAGGGGCTCGCCCGGAATTGGGTTGGGTCTCTGTAGTCTGGAGCTTCTGACTCCTTCCACTATAGAGAAGCCGCAGCAACCTCTGTGGTCAGACCTCTCTGCGCTCACTCACTCGCACGCTATTGTGTAGGTCCTGCACCTGTTTGCCCTCATACCCATTCCTTATTGTTCCCTGATGTGTTCGGTTTTGGTTCAGCTGTAGACTACCCATCTCAGACAGCTGTATCAGCTGGCCTCTAGGTGGAGTCAGCCAGTGGAAGATAGTGGAGGACAAATGGAAAGAGGGAGGAGGGGAGAAGCCAGGGTATTTCTCAACAGCACCCTTCTCTACTCCCACTCCCATTCCCAGCTTAGTTTAGGTAGCATCCCCCATGCTGTAGCTCTCACATGGGTC